GAGGAGAGGAGACACGACTACTGTTAGGGTTTTGTCTAATCTTCATCAATTCTTCACTTCTTCATCAATTGGAGCATTGTAATGGCCAACATGAGTGGCTAACTTCATTCTCTCAGGATTCGGTGCACTTCCTTTGAACTCTTTTGTATCATGGTGATATTTTGAGATATTAATCTATGCTTTAATGTTGTTATTCTTGTCCTTTATGCTTTGGAATGATTTATTCTTGATTGTTTGAGGTATGATTGGAAAATATATCTTGAACCCTAGATCACGGTAAGAATATTTGTTACGTTAATTGCCAGGAATGGAATGAATGTATCAATTGCTTAAACACCCTAACCTTAATGCTGGAAAATCTGTTAATTGTGTGAGGAATCAACATTTATTAGGTTTTCTTATGAATTTCATGTGTGAGGAATCAACATGGATGATTTGAGTAGGTGGCATCAACATTGTTAGATTAATTGACGTTCTTAATTGACATAGCCATTACAAAAGAGGGATAAGGAAGGAAGTCAATCCTAAGTACCTTTAATTGATATTTTCTCAACAATTTACAGTTCTTTGTCATTTAATTTCAATTCAACTCTTATTTGCAAAACCTAATCTGTTTTAATCTACTTAGTAAGCATAATTGGGAATTTCCATTGAAATTGTTCCTCGTGGGATCGACTTTTATTTAATCAAAATACTATACTGCGATTGATAATTTGATACGCTTGCCAATAATTACATTAGGGAATTTATTCCCAACGTTTCCAGATACACATGTCCCTTATCCAAGTTACTAAGGAAGAATCCACCTCCGTGGGGACCAGAACATACTAGAGCAATTGAAGAACTAAAGAAGGTGGCTCAGACTCCTCTAACTCTGAAGATTCTAGACAACGGAAAAATGATATAGTAGACAAATGCCAGTGATGACTATTGGGAGCAGTTCTCATCAAAGAAGAAAATGAGAAAATGTACTATTATGGTCATGCAAGTGAACAATTCAAGGATGCCGAGAAACATTACCACACCGGAAGCCTTGTCCGTCAAGAATCCAATAAAGAAGTTTGGCTTTTATCTCAGAGGACATAATTTCGAGGTACAAATGGACAACTCTTCTTTCCTAAAGATCTTAGAGTTCAAAAATAGAATACCTCCTAATCCTCAGATCCTCCGACTAATGAACTAGTTTTCAAGGTATGATTTTACTATTAAACATATCAAAGGAAACTAAAACACAGTCCCTGATTTTCTCTCCCGACCTAAGAAAATTGTCCAATTGATTTTTGACACCTATAGTCTTCCTCTTATCTTCATGGTCAAATATCTCTCTAACAAAGCCAAAACTGTCAAAGTTTATCCTCCCAGATTAAAATCAACTACACCCACATATATCCTTCAGTATGCGAAATCTTGCTACTTCTACTTTCTCCATGAAACCATGAAATACAAAATCATCTCAACCTCCATGTTTAACCCTGACATTCCCTTTGGGGGAATTTCTGAATTATTCTGCGACCCGGGTTGGAATCTCTGTGAACCAACTCTCTAGACCATATGGTGTAACACTGTTTAATACTCCATTCATATTGCATTGAAAATACAAACAACCTATAGAATCTTGACAAATCCTTACAAGGCCAAGTTTCACTTCTATACTCTACTCGAATGGTTCTCACCACTATCTTGGTGGAGATAAGAGCTCAAAAGGATATTAGACTATCAAAGGCAAAGGGGAGTGACTGAAGACTCTCTCAAAGATCTTACTTCGATCTTCATCATCCACCGTTCATACTTTCTAAATCCTGCAAGTCAATTATGATCAAGAAATGAAGCCTACATCTGGGGCAGCTTTAAGACCTACCCTCTTGATGAAAGTTACAGGACCTAACTGGCTCGACACCTTTGTGAAGTCAACAACTATCATTACAAGCCGGTGGACCCCAATATTGCCAGCTCATCCCAAAATTCGCTTAGTTTTTATCCTCTGAATAGAATCATCCAAAAAGATGATGGATCTCAACATATAAGATTATTCAAATCAACAACTAAGATCTATGTGTACGAAAAAGAATTCCAAAAGGTTGAAAACTTAGCGGATGATGAAGAATCGATAGAAGAAATGATGAGACACAAAGAAATGTATCTCTATTGGGACCCACTAACTCGAAGCATGACAAGAAACGAGGCCCAGCAGGTGAATCATTATGACTCCACCAGATCTGACTCAAAGTAAAGGTTTTGGTCAATGACTGTCATCATGACATGTTACTAAAACAAGATTCATTTATCTTTACACGTGTCCATTACAAGCTTCACAAACGTGTTAATAAAGATGAGATCAGATCAACTTTACTTTATCTAAAGATATATGATATCTTATCTGTCTGTAAGATATCTCATCGAATCTTATCTTGTCTTGTCTTTTTGTAAGGTCATAATGAGTGTGGACCATAACCTTATCTTTGGATTCTACTTTATATAATATTTTGGGTCCAAAGTTCATTTTAGTTTAACGAAATTTTTAATTTTGCTTGTGTGGTTTGTCTAGAAATAGGAAAGGCTCGTAATGTTGTAATGCATAACGAACGAGAACCAACAAGGATCAATCAAATACAAGTTTCTCTTTCTAAAAATATTCTCTCTCTAAATTTTCTCTTCTCTGAAAGTCTGAAGTATATAGTTCTTATTATTATTTCCTATTTAGATGTACGTATGTTCTACACTTACCTCTTATGAGGATCTCTCAAGCATATAGTTCTTATTATCATGCTTTACTTAGATGTAAGTATGTTTTACACTTGCCTCTTGTAAGAATCCCGTGTATCGTAAATCTTCTTATCCCCGAAACTATTTTGAGATATTATTAATTTTAATATATTTTATTAATTTATATTATTGATAGAGCTTTGTAATTTATTTATTTATTTTAATTTGTTTTTCTTATAATTTAAAAATTAACATAACTATTGAGTTGAGGCATTATTTTATAAAAACAATATGGTAAAAATTGGAAAATTTACAGTAAAGCATAAATTAAAAATTATTTTTTTCATCTAAATGAAATTAATAATTTAGAGAATGGTCACTTATAACAAAATATCGAAAAAACTGAGTTTTTTAAATTGATTCGTATTAACCATTCAATGCAACATTAATTTCATTATAATAAAAAGAAATTATAACCTTAATGATTTTTATAGTTCGTCTCACAATTTCTTCTAAGTATTATGTTCAATATCAATTTTCTTATATTTTTTATTATCAAGTTGTCTAATAAAAAAAATATAACACAATATTATCAATAACGAATGTAAAATATATTGTTCACATAAATATAATAATATTTTAAGTTAATTATAAAATCAAATTAATATTAAAATAATAATAATAATAATAATAATAATAATAATAATAATAATAATAATAATAAATAATAAAAAGTAATAAATAGCGAGACTGATAAACTATTTTAAATCCGACCATTCAAATGAACCCATTTATTCGAAAATGGATCTACAAATAAATATGTTATTTTCAAATCACCAACAATTTTATTTTAAATTATTACAAAACTGGAAAATTAATACAAAATCAATAAAACAAAGGAAACTGAATTTTTAGGTTGAATAAGTTTTAATAAAAAAAATTAAAGATAATTTCTTAATATATATATTTTTAAAATATATATATTTTAATTTTTTATATATTATGTAGTTTAAATAATAATTATTTTGTTATGTATTTTATTTTTTTAATAATTATCTATCTTATACTTTTTAATATATTTTATATTTATAATATTTATTGAATATATTTATAGTAATTTAAAGTTAATATGACAATAATTTTTATTAAATTTTTTAAAATATTATTAATAATAAGATAATAAGATTATTATATATTTAAATTTTGATCCATGTTTTCACCATTTAAGAAATCATTGGATAAACCTTCAAACCTAAAGTTATTGATTGATATGATCATGGAAATAATTTAGCTTTGCCGCGAGAGCAACACACTCATATTTGAAAATAAAACTCTACTTTATTCCACCTGAATATTTAATTTAAAATAACTTTTTAAAAAGAAATAACTTGTAGAAAGCTTGCATTGAAAGATTGCAGGTTACATGGAACCCACACACATCCTTAATTATTTGATTAGATTATTTTTTTATATATAAAATCTAAATTAAAACTAAAATTAACTTATATATAAATAACTAATATATGGAAACTCTTGAAAATAATTTCTCTAATTTTTTTTAATTTTTTAAATTTATTATTAGATATAATCATGAGATATCTAACTTAAATCTATTTTTAGACTTAGATAATAAAAATTATTCTTATTTATATACTATTATGTTATAATATTTCTAGTAAAAATAATATCTAAATACACTCCCTTGTATCAATCTATAGAGTAAACTCTAATATCATTAATATCATTTTAGAAAGGGTAATATTTATCTTTTAAATTAGATATAAATAAATCTTACTTTCTGAAAATTTTTTCCAAGATGGATTTACAAAGTCCAACCTAAAAAGATCCGGTTAAATACAATGTAATGATACACATCCGAACATTGCAAGTCGACATGGCAATACAAACTTTAATAAAGCAATCATAAGACACATTATGGTCAATCCCTACTCGATGTACTTTTTATCCAACAAGTCTCCAATAAATTTTATATTCGGTGAGAGCGTGGAGATGGTGGGGACTTGTTTATCAAAATATTTATGTTGGCACAATCAGAGTAAAAACTACTATAACATTATTCAATTCAAAAAATTTCAAGAGAAAAACAAAACTAGCTCTACACGATGCTCTTGATACTGGACAAATCGAATTACAAACACACACATGTTGGGGAAAGAAAAGAAAAAACAAAGAATCAATTCACATGAACAAAAAATGAGCTAATCAAAAATTGAATTACCATAAACATACATACCTAATTGAACAAGCTGCATAAAAAACTCGAGAAAAATGAGGTTTTATGCTGCTCTCTGGCCCCTGCGAGTCTTCCAGAGAATGTCCTTGAGATAGTCATAGCGACTGCGATGATAATCAATCCACAGACACAGCTGCCTGATGACCTCCCTCTTCTCCTCTCCCAAGTCCAACATACCATCCTCTTTCTCTTTCATCATTTTCTCCAGCTCTCTAATTGTCTTCTTAAGTTGAACTACAGTTGTTGTCAGATTCATCTTCTCTGATTCCTCCTTGCTTGCATTTGTCTCAAGTTTCTCAACTGTCTTCCTCAAAGCCACCTCCTCTTCATTTTTAACCTGCAGCTGCTCCAACAACTGCTTTTTGTCTCTCTTTAGTTGCTCTTTTTCCTTATTCATCTCCCTCACATGCCCCTTTGCAACCTCCAGCTCATGTGATATGTTAGAGACACACTCCTCGTAGTTTTTGCAGTCATCAGAAACCCGACAGCTTACAATTTCTATGCCATTCATGACACTGTTCACACACTCTTTGACATTAGAGACAATTTCATGCAAAGCTTCATTGTTGGAGGTTATTATTGTTGATAAAGTAGCAATCCTGTCTTCAAGTGCTCTCTGATCTTGCTGAAACTTTTCCTCCGACTTCCTAAAGCTTTCTTCCTTCTCACTCAGCAATTGCTCTGTGACCCGGAGCTTCTGGTTTGACAGACGAAGCCTAACCTCGAGCATCCGAACATTCTCAAGCAAAGTACTGATTTCATCTCCTTTCTCTTCTAGGTCTCTTTTTAGGTCTTCTACAGTATGTTCCAAATTAGCTACCTTCTGATCTTTCAACTCAATGTCTTCACGAAACTCTCCTGCCATTTCTTCAATCTTCTTCTCTGCAACTTCAAGCTTGACCATGCATTCCTGAAACAAACCATCAATGTGTTTGTATTCTTCATTTAGCCTCTGAAATGAATCTTCTCGTTCTTTTATTGTTCTCTTAAGATCAATAGTTCTGCTTGATATGTCATTCTTTTCATTCTCTACCACTAAAAGGCTTTCTGCATGTTCTTCACTAATTTTTTCATAGTGGAGCTCCAATTCTTCTTTTGTTTTTTGTAAGGAAAGTAAGTCTTTTTGCAGATTATCAATTTGGGCCGTGAAGGCAATTACTTGCCCGGAAGCCTCACTCTCTTTTTCGTCAAGCTTTTCCTGCAAAGTGAATAACTCTGTCTCTTTCTCGGCTAATCTTTTCTCCAGTGCAGTAATAGTTCCCTGCAATCCCAAAATTTCCTCTTTCAGTTTGGCGTTCTCATGGTCTTTAGCTGTTATCTGGTCTTCAACTTCACCCTTCTGGTTTTGAGAGGAATCCAGCTCCATCTTCAGTTTTTCACACTGCTGTTCTACTTCCTGTCTCTCATTCTGCAGGGAAACCAAATCATGTTTTAGATTATCAATGTGGGCTGTGAAGGCAGTTATTTGGCCTGAAGCCTTGCTCTCTTTTTCAAGAAGCTTTTCCTGTAAAGTGGATAGCGCTGCCTCTTTCTCCATTAATGTTTTCTGCAGTGCTGTAATTTTTCCCTGCAATCCCAAATTTTCCTCTCTCAGTTCCGTGTTCTCTTGATCTTTAGCTCTCATCTGTTCTTCAACTTCAACTTTCTGGTTTTGTGTGGAATCCAGCTCCATCTTCAGCTCTCCACACTGCTGTTCTACTTCCTGTTTCTCATTCTGCAGGGAAACCAAATCATGCTTTAGATTATCGATCTGAACTGTGAAGATAGTTACTTGACCTGCAGCTTCGCTCTCTTTTTCATGAAGCTTTTCCTGTAAAGTGAATAGCTCTGCCTCTTTCTGGGCTAATGTCTTCTCCAGCACAGTAATTGTCCCCTGCAATCCCAAATTTTCCTCTCTCAGTCCAGAGTTCTCATTGTCTTTAGTTCTCATTCGTTCTTCAACGTCATTCTTTTGGTTCTGTATGGAATCCACCTCCAACTTCAGCTTTTCACACCGATGTTCTAATTCTTGTTTCTCATTTTGCAGGGATGCCAAACCATGTTCAAGATTCTTAATTTTTTCACTGGAGGCCGTTATTTGAGCTGAAACTGCCTGTTCTGCGCTATTAAACTTATCCTGGATAATCAAGAAGTTTGCTTCTCTATCTGTTGATATTTTCTCTATTTCTGCTATTTTGTCATATAGCTCCAGCATTTCCTGTCTCACGTGACTGATCTCCTGGCTTTTAGCCCTTATTTGCTCTTCAGCTTCCCTGTTTTTGTTCTGTACAGTGTTCATCTCTAGTTCTAATGTCCTCAGCTGCATCGCTAAATTTTCTCTTTCTTCCAGAAATTTCTCTTGTTCTAGCATTTTTCTGTCAATTTCCTCTTTCAGAGTTTGTATTTGAATCACATTCTCAGAATTTTCATGGACTTTTTCTGCTAACTGAACTTCTAAGTCTGATTTCTGGTGTTGAAGGGACGTCACTTCTTGTTGCAATGCATTCACCTCATTTGTAATGCTTTCAACTTGAGTCGAAGCTTCGTTATTTTTAAAATTTATCTGCTCTTCCAGTTCATTTTTCTGAGCATGTAATGTACCAATATCAGCCAGCAGCTTGTTTATCTGAGATGTTAAATCTGACATTTTCAAAGATGACTCATTCTCATTATCTTCTAGTTTCTTCACCACAGCAGATAGCTCTTCTTCTCTTTCTCTGGACTTCAATTCAAGTTGTGATATTTGGTTTTGTAGCTCTGAATTGTGCTCTCCTATTTCCCTTGTTTCAGTGGTGCTTATCTTCAGTTGCTCTTCAATATCTCTTTTCTGGTTTTGCAGTGATTCTAATTCCAGCTCCAAGTTTGTGACTTGTGTCTGCAGTTCCCTGATACGATTTGAGGATTCTTTCTGAAACCCTTCATGCCTCTGAGTTAAAGCAGAAATTTCCCTACCACTCTCATGAACTTTCTCCTTCAAGTGACTTGATTCAACTACAAATTCTTGTATTCTACTGTGAGACAGCTGGACCTCATTTGAAGCCTGCGAAAGTTGCACTTTTAAAGATTTATTTTCTTCCTCAGCAACTTTCAGATTGTGGCTTAAATCTGCCATTTTCTGTTCTGCATGTTCCGACTGCTGTTTCAGAATGGAAAGTTCACCTGTAACTGCCTCTAACTCTTTGTCAAGTGCTAATTTCTCATCTTTCAGTTGATCAACAAGGGTTCTCAGGCTACCAGTGATCTTCTTTTCCTCCTCAATCTGTTGGAGAGTTGTCTCCTTCTCCATGGTCAAACTATCTTTTTCTGTCTTTAAGTCTTCCAATCTTTGATTCAGTTCAGCATTCTCAACCAAAAGTTTTGATCTTTGAGTGCCAAATGCTTCAGCATCACTTTTCAAGTCCATCTTAATTTTATCGGCTTCTTGTATCTTGCTCAGTGCTGCAAGATATTTAGAATTAAGATCCTCCTTTTCTTCATGTGAAATTGTCAACTTCCGATTTAATTCAGCTACTTCGACATGCACCACTTCAAGTTCTTGCTTTAAGCCATCGAGTGTCTTTTGAAATTCATTTTCCAGCCGTCCGTTTTTGTTGTCTTTGTCCTTTGAAGAATAATCTGAATCAGAATCTGAGTCTGAGGTGGATGAAGAACTCTCGTTTTCTCGCTTGCCCTTAATCCTTTTCCTTAACTCACCTGTTAGATTATCATATTGTGCAAACAGTGATTGGTATTGACTGTGGAAATCTTCAATCAGTTCAATAAGTGGTTCCCTCTTAGAAAGTTGTACTGGGGTACCATCCTCTTCAAGGTTGTCATCTTTAATAAGTTTCAATATCTCTTTCACTTTATCTTCAGTATCTGTAGGAAAAGTAGAAAAACTACAAATCGTTGGCTTGATCATCATAGCGTGATACATCATACTTGTAAATCATAGTAAACTATTCACCAGTATTATCAGTGAAGTGATATCATGCGGTAGCAGCTGAATTTAAGCTTTCATAAAAATTGTACCTGCTTTAGCTACATGGAGCTGCTCTTGTTTATTAGGGTCAATGTGACTTCCAAACAAAGATTTAATAGACTCTCTAAGGCGATGCTTCACCATCTTCTTTATAGATTTTCAACTTCTTCGCAGGATATCATCAATAAAATCTATTCCCAACGTCGATTCCTGGAAGCCAGAAGTTGAAAATTTTAACACAATTCCTTGATATTTTGAGCCCTGTAACGCACACAATTCTGTAGATGATATTATTATAAGAAAGTTAGATATGTTGGTAACGAGAATGCAATCTAAGCCATCAAACTTTTATTTATATGCATCAAACTTGATAAACATACATAAATTATAGGAGAACAACTGAAACATGTAAAACTAGTTCCAGTCCCTGAACGATTCAACTTGATCAAGACTCCTTGAATGGTAAAAATTACAATTTGTGAACCCTAAATCTGCGCTTGACCACTGATTTCAATAAATTTAGTCCCAAAATTGTATTGATCTTAAGCATAAGTTTTAGTTTTTCATCATTAAAGGACTTGTATAACCAACATTGTTTCTTTCCACGACTAATTTTTTTAGCTGCACGTTTTTGTAGTTATAACAGAATAAGTCCCAAAGTTGTATTGATCTTAAGCATAATTTTCAATTTTTCATCATTAAAGGACTAGTATGACCAATCTTTCAAAGACTAATTTTTTCTTTACACGTTTTAACATGTAACACTTCGCCACTAAGGATTTTGTTCAACAGCTTCTTTGCCCCAAGATGGCGGGATGCAATATTTGATGTGTGAACAAAAATATTTGAAGTCAAATATTTTTATATGAAAATATCAGAATAAAAGAATGTTGCAGGAAATTTACGTTGAGTTTGATAAGAGAAGTCAATAGTTTTGGGAAAAGATAAATGATAAGAAATATAAAAAAGAAAAAAATTCGTGGGACCCACAAAATGTTTTTTTTCATAAAATAGCAACAAATAAGATTATTGATTATGTTATGGAACATAATCCCATCATGTTGTGCATAACCAAATTTTAGTTACAAAAAATAAATAATATTAATGTTGATTAGGAAAAATAATAATTTTTTTTTCAACCAAGCAACTTTTATTTACACTCAATTCTCAACTATTTCTCTTCCACTTTTTCCTCATCCCTCGCTATTTCTATCCTCTTAATGAAATATTAAAATATAGGGAAAGATTGTAAAATATAAAGGTTTTTATTCAAAACAGTAACTACTATTATTTTCTAAACTCATTAGTCCAGTGCTAGAATGAATCCTGGTGACCTCGTGCTTTAGCTGGCGGCTTTATTTCACTTTTTGAGGATGGAAATGGGACTCAATTATGGGATTAACTATGGGCAAAAAATAATATAGAAAATAGAGAGGGAGAATGTGAATGTGTAATTGTTTGGGGTCCATCCTCCAGGGTCAGATTCGCAATAAATAGATGTTATGACTATCATCGCTGGACCAAAGTTTTATTCCCTCAACACCTCAGAGTTCAAATTTTGAGAACAAGACATATAAAAATAAAATATCGATAAGTATTTTTTATTTAAAAAAAAAGGTTAAAAAAGAAGAGAGACAGAAAGCCAACTAGTGTGAGAAAACAACAACAATAATCGGACACCACGTCAGCAACTCTTGGAACCATCCCAGAAACAGATTGGAAATCAGATGACACAGCTCAACAAACAAACTAGTTTTTCTTTTTGTTAATTACCAATTATTTGAAAAAATTACTGAATGAGACCAAGAAAGGAAAAAGAAAACAATCTATACTAAGAAAAATAAAAGAAAACAGATAACAACCACACAGCATGATGTTCAAGATTCACATAATTGTCACTATTTTGCCGAATCGATTCAGATACCTTAGATATGGTTTCAGTTTCCCTTCTACTCTTCCCTTCAGAATCTGCTAAGCTCCAAAAGCAAAATCGCAGCTCCCTTTAGAGAAAAATTACAAAAGACAAAGCAAATTCAAGGCAAGAAGAAAGACCAGTGAGCTTTCAACTTCAACCAATTATCACCTGATAATAAAATTACCAAAGAAAAATAATGAAAATAATATTACAAAGCAGGAATAATTCTCTTTCTTTTTCAATTGTCAGTAATAATTAATTTATTAATTTTGTCCTTAAAATTCAAACCATAGCAAAGAACGCAAACTACAAGATCGACATATAACAAGTCAATAAAAATTCATTTTAAAGATTAAAGACCAGATGCAACTGTATGAGTTTACCTTGTGCAACTGCAGAGAAAGACAAAAAAAAAAATGAGAAGAGAAACCGATAAAAGCTGAGTTACGAAGTAAACGGAATTGATCCGATCGAATCCAAAGCTGAAACGATTCACGGAAACCAAAGAGCTTAAAATTGAAGTGATAAAAGAGTATAAGGAAGATAGTGGATAGGAAATTGACGGTTACCTGTGAAAGTTGAAAGGAAGATCGTAAGAGCGGGAGTAGAAGATAGAAACTGAGAACGGAAGAAAGAAGAATTGAAAGGAAGGAAGTCACTAAGAGGAGGTTGAAGAGAGACAGAGTTTGCTTTGGTTTAATTTTCTAAAATAAAATAATAAATAAATATTAATATAAATCATAAAAAAAATGGTAATGATATAAAAAAGTGGCTTTGTTTTGTTTGGATTAGAGCACTCTGCATTTTGCACCTTCAAAGTTCAGGAATGGAATCTTTGGATTGTTTTTCAAATCTTTGCCCTTTCCTTTCTCTGTTATTTCCATGATGCCACCACCACCTCTTTGGATTCCGGGAAGACACGTTGTTTTCTTTTAAAATTCTGGACACTCTCTATTAATGTTCCTGTTTTTATTTTATTAAATTCATCTCTATTTTCTGAAACTTTTTTTTTCACTTTTTTCTTAAAATAATATATATATATATATACTCATAAAAATAAAATATAGTTCCGGTAAATTTCAAGGACATGATAATTATAATAAGGTCCTTTACTTTATTTGAACTATAATATTTAGAATATATTTTAAAAATTATAACACTTCTAAACAAATCAAATGAGTTTTTAAACAATTTAAAATTATATTATATATAGTTTTAAAAAATAGAAAAATTATGTTAAAAGCTTTATTTGTTTTCTGTCTTCAAAATATTTATAGATAAATTAATCCAGATACGCTTTTATTATTAACTTCAACGTTTATATTTTTAAGAATTGTTTGTTTTAAAACTGGATACATTTAATTTTAATAAAGTTAATTTTAGACTGAAATGCATTTAAGAGATGTGTCCGAGATTTAATTAAAGGCGGATTTTTTCTTTAAAAGTAAAATAATTTTAAGTTTAATAGCTATACGTTATTAATGATAAATTTTACATTATCCAAAAAATTAAAAATACGTTTAGTACGACTTTTAAAAAAATATTAAAATCAATAAATTTATATATGGGATTATTTTTATTTTAGTTATTATATTTTATAAATTTTACAATTTTGATTTCTAAATTTTTTGATACCTTCATATTTTTTATTTTTTGTAAATTTTTTACTTTAGTCTAATTATTTATATTTTTTAATTAAGTTGGACATAACACAAGATTTAAAAAAAAAACATGTTACTCAATTTATTTTCAAGTTAAACATAATATAATAAGATTGAGAAGAAAAACAAGATTGATACTAATTTGTAAATTATGAGTAATTTAAAAACTAATTCATGTTATAAATAAAGTCATATTTAATTTAAAACTAAGTAGAGTGTACTAATTTATAATTATAATTATAATTTTTTATATATAACAAATTGATTAACTTTTATATGAATTACTTTATAAATTTTGCTTTGAAAATTATAAGCATTTGAAAAAAAAAACATAAAATATCTCCTAAACTTTAACTCAAATGATAAACCTTTTAACTCGTTATAATTAATTATTAAAATTTAAGCAATATTTTTTTATTTCTTTTGTAGATGTTAAAAGTGACTAAACCAATATATTTATAACATTTGTTCATTATTTTTATAGCAGTTTTATTAACTTTTAAAAGTTCTCTGATGAAAATGTTATTTTAAAGATATTTTAATACACTATTGTTTCAAAAATTTTCATTTTTGAAAGAAATACTAAAGCACAACAGAACTAGTCGGTCCCTTATTATTTTTTAAATAATTTTTTTTATTACGCAGTCACTTTTTAGAAAAACTGTTTGTATATTATTTCAATTTAATTTAATTTTTTATTTTAAATTAAATTAATGTATATATAATTAAAATATTTAAATCAAATTATTGTTCATAATAATTTACATTATTTAAACAGTATTATCTCTTTAAAAAATATATGTGATATATGACAATCTTATTAGTCCCTTTCCTTTGATTCCACGTGCTTCTTTTTTTTTCTTTTTTTTCGTGAATTACACGCTACATGTTTATTAGATTTTGATGTTTACCTAGAGAAAGACTTTTGTTTTGTTGTTCCTTAATTTATCTTTTAGACTAGGAAACATCTAAGATTTTTATTTGACACACAATTATTTTATTTTATTTTAAGTCGGTTTATTGAATAAAAATGAAAAATATTTCCCTTCTATTAAATAATAATACACTTTTTAATTTTAAAATAGATATAATTATATTTTTAATAAAATGAAAATCATTCTCAAAATAATTATAAATAAATATTTTTTTATCATATTTTGACAAATAGTTATTACATTTAATTGAGTTATACTCCTTTTTTATTTTATTTATAAATTTTAAAATTTTATATTAGTAAAAGGAATTTAATTTTATATTAAAATTTCATAATTTGTATTTAATTTTTTTAATCAATATAATACTTTTGAATGAAATAAAAGAAATAAATTAATTATCTCATTAAAACGTGATAGATATAAATATTGTTTATCAAAAACATAAAAAGTATGAATATTTATTAAAAAAAAACGTAAATGTCAATTAGAAATCAACACCAATAGTAATAAAAAAATCTTCTTATGATTCTATTCAAAGGTCAAATATTGACCCTTCTCAAATAATAAAAAGTCAGGAACTTCTTGTCTATAATTTTTTCTCTTTAACTAATATATTTATTTGCTTCTTTAAGATATAAAATTCAACAATATATTAAAAATATAACTATAGATATTCTATTCAATATATTTTGTATAAATATGATTGTAAGAAAAAAATTTCATTTATTTTAATAAAAAACTATGAAATACTTTATTTTATGGGGACTCAAATGCCAGAAAGGAGCACCATACCATGCCACGGTTTTGTTCTTTCAATTTCATGTTGACACACACACGGCTTATCATTGTAAACGTTTATAGATTTATTTATTATTTTAAAAGAATTATACTATATTTCATCCTTAAAATTCTACTCGCATGTTCCTCTCTTTCTCTTTTGTGTTCTTTCTGAGGAATGTGTTTTCTTTATAAATGTTTATGCTGCAATATTTACTCATATAAATGACGTATTGGTAAATGGTAATTTGATGAAGAGACAACTGTCTATTAAATAATTGTATAATTAACAATTTCTATTGCAATAAAAAAAATGATAACAAGATTAATACAATTTAACAAATTCTCACTTTACAATTAAATTTGTTCGAAAATTAAAAAAAGAACTGAGGACGAAATTCAATATGCAAGTTGTGTTAATTTTTGTTTGGTGTGGACGATGAATGTCCCATACACCATGTACAATTCTTCCGTCCACTTTCCTTCCCAAGCTCATGTCATGTTTTTGACCCTATTTTTTGTGACCATGTCCTTTAGATAGTTACAACGATCTCTATGAAACTCAACCACAAAACAAAGCTGTCTTATTGCTTCTTTTTTGTTCTCCCCTAGGTTAGCCAACTCTTCATCCTTCTGTTTCACACTCTTTTCCAATCTTCCCACTTTCTTCTCAAGTTGGCTCACTTCCTTCCTTAGATTCAACTTATCCCCTCCTTCCTTGCTCACCTCTGCCTCCAACTTCCACAAATTCTCCCTTAACAACAACTCTTGTTCTTCCTTTTGGTCCAACAACTCCCTAAGGCAATGCACATTGTCTCTCAGATTTTTCACCTCGTTATTTCTTTCCTTCATCCAATCCTTCATAAACTCAACCTCACACATCATTTTAGTCACACGCCTGGCATGGTCCTCCATCTTCTCAGTTGCTAAGTCTAAACCATTTAGTGCAATCAATTCAAACCCATTTGGAACGCGAGTTGTTGTTTCCTCTTTATAACTAGCAATTTTCTTTCCCATGTTTTTGTTCTCTTCCTCGTACCTTTGTTTTGCTATTTTGCAACTGTATTTATTTTCATTGTTCAGTTGCTCTGCCACGTGAATCCTCTGGTGCAATAACCTGATATTGTCTTCCATTTTCCTTCGAAATCCTTCTGCCAATTCATTAATTTTCCTTTCCGCTGTTACCTGAATAAACTTCAATTTACTGGCCACAATTTTGGCTTGTTTGTTCTCCTCAATAAGTTGTTCAATCGTTTTCTCTTGATCACTTGTCTGGCTTGCTAACTTGGCATTCAAATTTTCCATCTTTGTTAGACTTTCAACATATTCCTTTTGACTTCGTTCATTTTGTTGCTCCAACTTGTTTTTTTGTTCCCGCATAGTGTCCAACTCAAGTCTCATTGAATTAAGTTTTGCTTTTAAAGTCATAACTTCCATGGAAGCTCCACTTTTGTGGTTTTCATGTTCTCTCACAAACTTAGAGATTTCTTCCCCTTTTTGTGTCATTGTTATTCTCAGTTCATGATTTCTCTCTTGAAGGGTCTTATTTTCTTCTGTTAGTTCTTTAATCGCATAGCTTGTGTCTCTTAACTTCTCTTCCAAATCATTTTTCTGACTCGTTTGACTTTCCAAGTTTAATTCCAAATCCTTTAGCCTATCAAGAAACCTTTCTTTTTCTTCCACCATATGTTTCTCAACCAATCTGACATCAACTAAATTGTCCTTCAGATTGTTTATCTCAATAAAATCTTGAGAAATTTGTTCTCTCTGGCTTTCCATCTTGGCTTTTAGTTCTCTGTTCTCATTTTCTACGAAATCTAACTTTTGTTGCACCATGTTAAGCTGCTCCAACAAATGTTCTCTTTCGGTTAATGCTTCAATTTTGTCACATTTTATTTTTTCTTCCATTTCATTTTTATGTGTCTTCAAGAGTTTGGTCTCCAGTTCCAACTCACTAATCTTTGCCCTCAAATCTGCAGTACTGGACTTTTGTTGGTTCTCATTGTTATTGAATTTTGTCTGCAAATCAAACCCCTTGCCTTTTTCCTCTTTCAACAACAACTCAAGTTCTAATACTTTGTCATTCAACTCAATGTTCTTCGAGGTTAGATGTTTAACTTCTTGTGTTTGGCTTTCAACCTCCCGTTTTAGATCCTTTTTTTGTTTCTTCAAGCTCTCAACCTCTTTCATTAGCAAATTTAATTGTTCCTCAAATTTTGTGGCTTCAGGATTAGTAACCTCGTCTGTACTATCTCCTTTGTCAAAAAAGTCTTGCCTAGGAGTTTCGAAACCAGAGACATAGTAATGTTCTTTTTCTAACCTTCTCCTATTTCCATCTACTTCCTCTGAAGAAAAGTATTCAGACTCAGAGTCAGACGAAGACAATAATACCTTTCTATTTGTTTTACGAGAAACTGATTTCTCAAACTCTTCAGTAATACGATCATATAAGGCATACAATGATTGGTGATTCTTGTATAAGTCCTCTATTTGTCCCATAAGTTTTGTCCAATTTCTAGAATATTTGTGATTCCCATCCTCCATGTTATAACTTTCATCCTTAATAAGATTCAAAATTTTTGAGATGTTATCTTCAATATCTGAAAAAAAAAATAGTCGTTATTTATTTAAACTAACAAACTCAAATATTTTAACATTAAAAAACACCACCAAATATAAAAACTTCGAAATAATTATATTTATGCACTTTTTTTACTTTAACTTTTTAAATCTCTTTCTCCTTTTCCCATCACATTAATTTTTACATACAATAGTTCACTATCTTTTTGTTTCTCAACTTAATTTTAAATAAGCGTTATTGTATCACATTAGACCTACGAAATTTTTAGTAATTTTTTTATTGGTGATAAGATTTGCAAAATTTGAATCTTGTATTATCCGGCATATATACTTTACGTTAAAAATGTAATATTCAATAAGGTAAAGTAATTCTAATAAAATAACTAATTTACACCACAGATTTTGTATTTAATCTTTCAAAACTGTAAACTCGAATTAAGATCCCTAAGAACTACAAATGGTTATGTTTATATATATATAGCTTTGTCATCACTTAATAATGTTGTTGGAAGAATAAAACAGTTTTGAAGAAAGTATTGTTTCATGTTGATACGTAATACAAGCATGAACAAACCTGATTTGGTTCTTTGGAGGTCTTCAACATTTTCCGCACCGATTAGACTCCCAAAAAACTTGATTGATTTTCTTGAGTGACGAGTTGTCATCTTTACTATGGAACCATGAGCAAATATTACCTTTCAAAATAAATGGCTATCAAAGTAGGAACTTTTGTTTATTTTCACATATGACTAGGAATCCTGAAATAAAGAAATGAAGATACATATGACAATTCGAAATTATATATGCACATAACATTGTAAATCTAAAGAATGAACTGAGTAATGGATTACCATGTGCTACCAACTATTGTAAAAATTATCAATTTTTCTTGTTTTTAAATATAAATAAATTTTAACTACTCAATTAGTATCTGACTTTTCATTACACACCATCGTTGATTTTGTTTCCTAACAAAAAAACAGTTAGACTACTTACTAGAACATTAGCATTATCCAATTGTTTTTGCCCACATGAAAAGAACTTTTATCATATATGTGGTGAACTTAAGTTTAGGCATATGCCTAAGCCCTGTTCCCTCTGTTTTTTTTTTCAATCAAAATAAGGTTGTTCAGACTTTGACATAAATGCCATAGCAACATATTTCACTAGCAAGTCAAGTTGACAACACCCATAGTTATCACATACAAATGGTAATCGATAATGAAATTCATTTCAGTTTTATGCCATAACTTCTGGAATGTTTACATCAAGAATTGATAGAATAAATCAAGAAATTTAAATTAAATAAAAAATAGGAAGGTTCAACAACTTGATGCAGGACAAGAATCTCCCACATTAAAAAAACATGCATATGAAAAGAGGGGGAAAAGGAATCAAATGCAATAAGAAATCACTGCAGCACAGGACAATTAAACTCTGTCTTTGTTTAATTATTTATGTTTTAATCATATATCAATTGAATCTATACAAACATATACAAACTGTATGTACGAGGAGATGGAATATGCTAACACCTTTTAAAGCCTAAAAAGTGTCATGTGTGATAAATTCCAATCTTTATGGTGATTATGACACGAATATCCATTGTTTTCACGATCTCTATCGTATGAATTGTATCGTAGCTTATAACATATAACCAGATTTATGTTAATTTGATTATTCTAAATTAAATGACAAACAAATTCATTCTGGGAAAAATGAAAAGTCACATTTTGTTCAACAAATGTGAATGAAGCAAATCAAGAAAGAACAGATCTAATGAGATATGAGAAAAAAAAAATACCTGGGAATGGAACTTGACAAGCAGAAACCGATTGATGATAGATATTGGGAAAGGAAAGGAGAAGATAAAAAATAAAAGAGTATAATGAAGAAAAGAAAAATAAAGATTTTTGAAGGAATATCTGACGCATTTCTTCGATGAGTCGAAATGAATAACCAAGTTTTGTTGTTGTTATTGTCGTGTTTGTCCTTTGTTTGGTGAGGGTGATAAAGTACTTTTGGGACTTGTTTGGAATAAAATGCCCTCTAAGGATTGAAATTATTACCATTGAGAATCCCTTGAATGTAACATACATGATTAACAAGATCTAAAAAAAGGTGTAATACAAATTTGTCTTATTAGTACGTTTGCAAGGAGGTAAGAGGGACGAACGTGGAAGAAAGAGAATTTTTTTTTTTCATTGAAATGCTTGAAAAATGCCTTTTTAGAAAGAAAAAAAAAACTAATGCACTATCATATTGTTAAAAATTAAATTAACTTCAAATATTTACCAATAATATATATATATATATATATATATATATATATATATATATATATATATATTATATTACATACTATACTTTGCGTTGACATTGCTATTATTATTATTTTATTGTTAACGTATTAGTATTCTACTAGCTTTTATATCTTATTGATTTGTAAAAGAAAATTATGTAAACTAAAATGTATGAGATTAATCACGTATAATTATTGATTTTATAAATTTTTTTATGTAAGCATGTTTTTTATAAGTTGTAAAAAGAATACATTTATGAGAAAAATTTGAAGATTAATATTTAGATTAATTACTGATCAGATAAAATTAAATTAATTACTTACATATATTAGCAATATTAGTAGACTGATTTTATATGAAATGCTTAAAATTATTAAGATTTATAATAAAAATGTATTCGAGCAACCATTTATTATTGCATTACTCATTGTTATTTTTATGCATGATTTAGCCTAAAATGAAAGCAACAGATTTAATTTCTTTTACATATTATTTTTACATAATAACGAGACAATGATCTAGTATTTTATAAAGGATAAAATGTCTTTATATTAAAACTTTTTCTTTATTTTTTTATTTAATCTGAACACTTTAAATTCTAAATTACTTTAAATTAATTGTAAGGGTTTATATTAATAAATCAATTTATTGAAAAGAACCAGAAATGAAATTTAAAGAGGACAATTTTGAAACAATAATAAATAATTAGAAACTTTTTGAAATGCACAAATTGTATTATTATCAAATAAAATATTATAATAATTAATTATCCATTTTAAAAAGTAAATACTTTTCTTTTCTATACACAGATCTTGAAAAGTTAAAACAAAACAAAGTATTAATGGATTTGAGTATTTATTTTATGATATTTAAAACATTAAATGATCGTTTGAATAAAATAAATTTGTATTTAATGTTGAGAAAACAAAGAGAGAGTGTATTCCAAGTTGCATAAAAGAAAAGGAAAAAATTGAAATGTTGGGACTTGGCAGTGTGAGAACCATAGACAAGAGAGTAGAGAACGAAGGAGTAGGAACGTTGTTTTGTTTTGTTTTGACCAAAATAGGAAATGAAGAAGCAAATATCAGGAATAAGTGGACGCGAAAGGATTTTGCATGTGCACTGTTTCATATCACATCAACGTGGATCATTCACTGCCACTTCTTAATTTAGAAAATTATTTTCCAAACTCCAAAGCATATTGGCTTAAAAAATAAAATTATGTTTTTAATATAAACATGTAATTTAACTATTATTTTATTTTCAAATAATCTTTAAACTCGTTCTGTCCCTCACCGTTTCTACTTTCCAGAAATGGAAATTTAGATAAAAGTCTTAAAATGACACGTTTGGATCGTATAAGATGTTAAAAGAAAGAAAAACTAAGCAGAAAAGACAGTTTCTTTGTGGGTTTATCACAATACATAGTTTCATTTTCATAAATGGTCGTAGTTATTTGGCTTAAACTCACTTAATTAAAAATTATACATGTTAACAAACTTAAGATAATTTTGTTAAGAACAAACCACGGATAATAATAACTATTAAGTATAAGAATGACGCAAAAATAAGACTTGAAAATTAGACCTAAAACGTGATTGTGCGTTAAAAGCACACGTTGACGTGGAGTGTGTCATGGATGTGAATCACGAAGATTTTGTAAGAAGGAAGAAGTTGTAAATTTGAGCATAACGTCTTCCAAGTCTAACAACTTATGAAGGGCCAAACAAAGCTTTTATTATCCGGTGAGCGGTGGAAGAAAAACCCACTCATAGTAATAAAACCCTTTTCAGTATTTCGTTCTCTCTGGAGTTTCATGACCGGGTTAGAAAATTGTGTTTCTTCCCAAACAAGTATTTCTTTTTCTGCAATAAGCTTTTTGGTTTCTGCTTTTCCTGCTTCCATTCGGTTCGTTCCTTCCCTCGGGTTAGTGAATTGTTCTGATTCTCAGTTCTTGAATTTTGATTAGTTGATGTCAACACATATAGTTTATTTTTTTTTATGTTACTTGCATTTCGTTTAGGAAGCATTAAAGAAGCATGTTCATGTAATGGTGTGTCTGCAATTGCTGATTGTTTTAGAACCTTTGGCAGAACTTGAATCGCTCTGAAAGATAATTTCTATGTCACGTGGTAAGGGGGATGTGGAATGATAAGATTTGACAGTATGGACGAAGAATTGGACATTGATGAGGGTGTGCAAGTGCAACGTCAGAACAAAGATGATGGATATTCACTAAATCCTGAATTGTCCAAAATATTAAAACCCCAAGAATATGATGAGAACCCACAAGATAAGAATTTGGTTGAAGCAAGGGAACATTTGCATCCAAGTCTATTTTCTGATGATGCTGGTGTCATGGTTGAAGAATTAATGGTGAAAAGTTACAATGGTTCTACCCTAGATATTGGTACTTTGAACAATCGAGGGCCGTTGCAGAACAGCCGGAGTCCATGGCGGCATATTTATCAGCCGGTTGCTGATTTGCCTGTGGGAAGGGATTGTATTGTAGCTAGAAGGAGTGTTCAAGCTACATTTAGTGCTTGGGAGGATACTGGGTCCATGTCTTCCCGAGAGATATTAGCTACAACATCAGTCAATTATGATCAGGGCAATGTCATGCGGCATTTGTCCGCTGATGAACATACAGATGAACATAAGAATGATGAAGGTGGTGCTCTCGAAGGAATACAAGCAAAAATTATACACAAATCAGGATTTGCAGAGTATTTTAGTAGAAGTACATTGAAGGGAAAGGGTATTGTTTGTAAAGGTCCATCTTCCAATGGTCTATATGTTGAGTCCAGAGATCAGAACATGATGAAGTTTGGAATTGATATTCAGATGGATTCTAATGCAATGATGAACTCCGGTTTAAAGATTGCAAAGTCTCCCAATAAAGTTACAGTGCCAGGATCCGATGGGTCTGACACTGATGGGGTGACTTTGAGAGAATGGTTGAAATGTAGGCAGCACAAACGGAGCAAAACAGAGCATTTAAGTATATTTAGAAAAATTGTGGAGATGGTTGGTGGCTCTCACTCTCAAGGAGTTGCACTGCACAATCTGTACCCGTCTTATATAAAATTGTTACCATTCACCAATGTCATGTACCAAGGGTTGCCAACTCAGAAGCAGAAATTAGATAGTGCTGCAAATTCTGAAGTTCTTCAGCTAGAGAATTCTTTTGCTAGAAAAAGGCTGTCAGAGAAGATAAAATCTCCGTCTCTTAATTTGTGGTCGAAGAAACAGAAATTCAATGAAAATGTTAGAGTTGCTGGTGATCGGACTCAATGCCCTCCTAGGACTGACTTATATCCTCAAATTGCCAATGATATCAAAGTCAATGTAGTGGTATCACAAGATTATTGCAATGAATACCCGGAAGATATCCAATTTTCTAAGCACAATATTTGGAGAATGTCTCGCAACCCTCACATATCTAATGCAGGTCAATTGCCATTGACTTCTGTAAATGAAAGATTGGAAGATGAATGGTATTCAAGTCCGGAGGGTGGTTGCACAATATCAGCAAATATCTACTGTCTGGGAGTCCTTTTTTTTGAGGTGAATAGTCTAGATGGTGGATGCCCTCTTTATTACATAAATTCAATGTTCACTTGCTCTGTTATATTCTTGACTTCTCAAAATTGACGTGTTTCTAAAAGTGCAATTGTAGGAAACATACTGGGTCTGTATTTGGGGGGCAGGGTGGGGGTATGTCTTCCCTTCTTTTGAAACTTAACTTACAAACATCGTTGCTATGGGACATTGGCACTCTTACAAACCAAGAGATGTTTCTGGACCTAAAGTCTATCTATAAGTACCTAGAGATGATTCTAACTAAAATAACTTATATTGAAGAGATCACTTATGATTGCTCAGTGTTAACTGTCAATATATTTGAAATCATTAACATTAAATAAATAATAAGAGTTTGTTTGGGGCCAACTTCTAGCTAATTTACTGTTTGTTTGCACTTTAAGCGACTTCAACATATAGTGTTTATTCTGATGCATTTATATTCCTTATTTATACTGTCCATCTCTCAGTCATACATTAATCTTGCCCTCTCATTTGCATCAGCTATCTTTATAATGCTTTGGTACGAGTTGAACTGGATGGTGAAACTTAGGTAGATAGGTTCTACTACCTCTTTAGAAGAAGCTAAGCCGTGAAATTTACTGTGCACATTTTTTTTGTTTTTTTAATTATTTCCTTACTATTTGTCCTGATTATTAGCTGAGCTATCGTAATCATGTCCATAAGATTAATATTCTTAGTTAACTTGCTTAGGACAATGATTTGATCCCAAAATTATTGGATCAATTAGTTTTTTTTTTTACTTTTTTTATCATAGATGTCACAATGAAAAAAAAAAAAAAAAAACACGGTCTTCATACTTCCATCAGGTCCAGCAAACAAAGCTTGGCATGATTTACACCTACCAATGAACATGATTTATTGACATCAACAATTTTTATCGTTTCATTCTGCTAATGGTTATCTTGACTACCATTATCGTTTCTTGTTTATTATTCATCAAATCATCCGGACCTGGATATTTGTTCCATTTGCCTGGTTATCATTAATTGATTTTTGTTTATATTTGTTGCCTGCTTTGAACATTGCTATCTCATTCTGGATTGATGAAAATGATAGTGTTGGTGTTTACCTCTAACCTTTCCAACCAATAAAATCAATTATTTGTTGTAATAAATTTAATCCATTAATTGTTCTGACAGACCTTGGAATGATAGACTCTTTCATTAATTACTAATTATTAGTCAATTTTTACTGAAACAGTACAGTAGCATAAGTTCACATAAAGTTAAGGACTGATTATATTTTAGGTCTTTTTTTCAGTTACTTAATCATTTTGATTCAGAAAGAGCACATACTGCTGCAATGTCCGCTCTTCGTGGTAGGATTCTTCCTTCAGTTTTCCTATCAGAGTATCCTAAGGAAGCTGGATTTTGCCTTTGGATGCTGCATCCCGAACCATCATCACGTCCAACAATAAGGTAAGGCTGAAATCTTGTGTATCATAGTTATCAGATTTACTTTAATTAAATTCAATGTAAAAACGACTCCGCAAATAATAAGGCAAGGTTGAGATCTGTATTAAGTTATCTGAAATCTTGTGTATCGAGTTATCAAACTTCAGAGGTCTTGCCAAAAGAACAGGCAGTTAAGGAGGGAAGAGGAAGCAATGAATTGGTCTGTTGTGCAGCCTGAGAGTGGAGAGGCCGATAAGAAGATCCTTAACACATACATGCAAGGAGTAGGGGATATAGATATAAGGTTTCTGAATATTGTATCTCAGAGATAAACACGTGCTATTTTTAGTAAGACATTAGATTACTGTTATAAATACAAAAAGAAATAAACGCAATCCCAAATTTAAATTCATATCTGTCATACAAATATTGACACGTGTTATATATGTAAAATATGCCATTTAACGGGATAAGATGAGACAATAGGGGGGAGAGAGAAGGGAGGACTAATAGAAATTCAGCACTAGAGGAGGTTTACCTTGGGTTCAAATTTCTGGGAGGGCTCTTTCTGCACTTGTTCTAGATCAATTTATTGGTTTCGTATGGAGGTTCCATTTTCTTTGAGTTCTATATCTACCGAAGACAACTATGAGATCCTGAAGTTATAACTTTTTTTGCATACCAGGGAGATCTTACAATCTGAAGTGATTAATGGAAAGCAGGAGGTGGACTGTGAGGAATTATTATCAAGTCTTAACCAATATGATGGAGAATCAGAATTGCTATCGCATTTCCTCATCGCACTAAAAGAGCAGAAACACGTGGACGCCAATAAATTGGCTGAAGAAATCAGATGGATGGAATCAGATATAGAAGAGGTGGAGAGGAGACATGCCTCGAGAGTATCCTTGCCTCCCTCAAGCTTGGAGAACAACGCCTCTTGTCATATAGAGAGTGTATCTCTTCTCAAAGAATCTTCAGGTGCAGAAATATTACCACCAGTATACACAATTTCTAAAGCAAATGAACTGAGACTGAAGAAAAATATGTGCCTACTTGAAAATGCTTACATTTCTATGAGATCTACAATGAAGCTTCCTGGATCAGAAACTACAACTCGCCCAGATAAAGATGTACTGAGAAATTCTGACAACTGCTGTGTAGCTCAAAAAGACATGGAAAAACATAAAAGGACAGATACTGTAGGAGCTTTCTTTGACGGTTTGTGCAAGTATGCCCGTTATAGCAAGTTTGAAGTGCGGGGCATGCTAAGAACTGCTGATTTTAACAATCCTGTAAATGTAATCTGCTCTCTGAGTTTCGATAGAGATGGAGACTACTTTGCTGCTGCTGGGATATCAAAGAAAATAAAAATTTTTCAGTTCAATGCACTTTTTAATCACTCTGTCGACATCCATTATCCTTTAGTTGAGATGTCAAACAGATCAAGGCTCAGTTGTGTTTGCTGGAATAGCTACGTCCAGAACTGTCTTGCCACCACAGACTATGATGGTGTAGTTAAGGTATGTGTGGCTTGCACAGTAGATTTGATACAATTTGAATTATTGCTAATATCATTGGCATATATTCTTTGCTGTATCCCCAATTTACATTTTGGCACATGCAATTTCCAACCAACATGCGATGGTGTTTATATTCATGGGTCTAGTAAATTTTCACTTGTATATTTGGGATTAAATTTCTCCCAAGGGTGAGTTTGCTATACCTTTAAAGATGGGAGCCAAACTTTGTGGATGAAATTTATGTAAAAAATTGTATGGAAAATTCATCATTTAATTTTTCATCCCCATTTTTAGGATGTGTCAAACTAGCCCTAAAGGGACGAGTGGAGAACAAAAGCATAATTTTCTCCAGATTGGCATCCAAGTTCTAATTAGCTGATTAGTAAATTGTCAGTTCCGTTCCCTGGCTTTACTGATTTGCTTCCACGATTCTCTATATTGCTTATAAGACTACTTTTTGACATGAAGATTTTAAGGATGATCGTGTCCATTGGCTGGCTTTATTTTAATTCACGTATGAATTACTTTTTAACTTCTTTAATGCAGCATCCTAGAATGCAGGTTCTATAAGCTAGAGTTTGTCTGATAAACTAGAATGACATCAATACGTTTCCCCCACCAGATAACAAAAAAGAAGTTGGAAATTCTTTCTTGTTGCATGAAAAATGATTTCCATTTCTTGATGAAAAATGACATCAATACGTTTTCAGCACTACTAATTGCATTGCCTAAATGGATGCATTTTCAGCTATGGGATGCTAATACAGGTCAAGGGTTTTCTCGATTCACCGAACATGAAAAGAGGGCTTGGTCTGTTGATTTCTCTCTGGTATGCCCTACTAAATTTGCCAGTGGGAGTGATGATTGTTCTTTGAAACTGTGGAGTATCAACGAGGTAAGCTTAATCTCTTCAGCATGCATACACAGGTCTGGGAAAATCTGCTTAAACTGTGAGAATGTGAAGAATTTGCTTTACTGAAAAACAGTAATTAGAGAAACTGGGGTTGATATTGATTGTTGTTTTATCTCACGCTGTTATGGAATTTATGAATCTGAACTTAAAACCACAGCAAAAAATAACGATATTTTCTCCCTACAATCGATCCGGAGCTAACAAAATGTAAAATTATTTCGCAGAAAAACAGTTTAGGCACAATCAGGAATGTCGCTAACGTCTGTTGTGTTCAGTTCTCTGCTCATTCATCTCATTTGCTGGCCTTTGGATCTGCGGATAACTCGACTTATTGCTATGATCTTCGCTTTCTTAGAAACCCTTGGTGTGTGCTGGGTGGCCATCGTAAATCTGTAAGTTTTGTCAAATTCTTGGACTCTGAGACATTAGTTTCTGCATCAACTGATAGTACCTTGAAGATTTGGGATCTCAATAAAACCTCTCCAGTGGGTCGATCGACTGGTGCTTGCAGTTTAACTCTATCAGGACATACTAATGAGAAGGTTTGGTTTTAAGTTTTATTGCACTGATTGTAAAGTATGCCCTTGACCTCTTTTAGTATCTGTTTGTCACATCCTTCCAAAATTTGATTTAAAAAAGAAAAGAAATTCGCTCTTTTAGTGTGTTAGATGAAGCATTCTGATGGTGTGGGTAGTGAAAAACAAACTTAAAAAATCCAGATTTACCTGCTATAATTATTTTGTTAATTACTTCGTGAGCGACGCCCATGGATTCACGTCAGAATGACTGACTTATTTACACTTCTTGCTGTGGCAGAATTTTGTGGGTTTATCAGTTGCTGATGGATATATAACATGTGGTTCAGAAACAAATGAGGTATGCATTATTTTCCACGATAAATTTGTGAGACAGCCTTTTAAGTTGCCAAATACAAAAATGTTATACTAGTATTTTATCCATTTAGGATTTTGAAATCATTCAAGTTGTATGTCAACTATTCAATATTCACTAACCTCTCTGAAATGAGAGTACAGACATCCTATTCCGTAACTTGTATATGCACAAATTTTGATCTTGCAGGTCTATGCCTACTATAAATCTCTTCCCATGCCAGTCATTTCCCACAAGTTTGGGTCCATTGATCCTGTCTCCGGTAAAGAGACTGATGATCACAATGGTCAATTTGTTTCAAGTGTGTGCTGGAGAGGGAAATCAGACATGCTTATTGCAGCTAATACAAGTGGATGTATAAAAGTTCTACAGATGGTTTGAGGGGATGTTTGACCTTGATAACGGCACCCTTACTGTTTGTACAGTCATATATAGTTTTAATGTTTTACCCTAGTCACACAGGCCAATCCCATCAATATTCTCGTAGTGCATCTAAAATTCTTTTGAGACGTCATGATTAATGTACAAGGAATCGAGTTCAGGCATTTAAGAGAAACAGTCACAATATTAGTTAGTCCAGATGTTTTTAAATAATCTGAAAAACATCTAAAATTCTCATCACTTCTTAGCATGAGAATAAAATAAAATCTATAAAGATTTGAAAATGTTTTTATAACCTTCATATATTCCTGATATCCGTGAATCAAATACAGAACTTATTAAAAGGAAACTTTTTCTTAAACACTTCTAAAGGAAAGAAAATAAGCAAAAAAAAAAAGATTTTTCCATAAATCAAAATTAACATAAATTATTTCATTTATTGAACTTATTTTTATTTTCTAAAAATGCTTATAGAATTTCTCTAGCTACATCTCTCACGAAGTTAAACGAGAGAAGAGAACAGTAACATATAGACTCTTTTACAAAATATAAATTAAAATACAACTATTAAAGAAAATAGCATTTTTGTATAATGAGAAATAGAGGTCCCAAAAGTAAACCCACGTCCCGTGGGACATCACTCCAACGATTCGACATTAGCATCATGGTCTGCCCATATTACATTTTCTTTCTTGCTAAATAATGGCATCTTCTTCTTGTTTTTTGCATTTCGTAAACTTGTGAGGCTAATTCCTCAAATTTCTAATGAGCTGTATATAAATCTAAGTTTATTGTAGTATTAAACGGTTACCTTTTTTAATTTTATTTTCAGTTTTTTTCTTAATACTACAGTAAAATTATAAAGTATTGGTTTTCATTTTTGTTAGGAAAAAATACTAACAAAAAAGTTAAGGTGAACGAAAATAGAGTCATAATTACAATACAATTTGAAGCGTAAAGTAAAGATAGTAACACATAAGTTAATTGTACAAATAAATTCTCATTGTTATAATAACTTTAATGTCAATTGGAAATACAATAATTACGCGTCATATGATATTTTAGATTGTCAAGGCATTGGCATCACAATATGACATGTTTCTTCAAAAGATATCAGTGATATGTCAGTGTAATGTGAAGTAAACAGGCATTGCAAGTGTATTAGGCAGGGAAGCTTCATAATAAGCCCTTAGCAACATTTCTTTTAATCAACTACATTATCTGACATTTAAAAGAAGAAGACTGTGATTAAATAGAGCATAATACAGTAGTTCATTTTCTTTTCTGTTTCTTACCCAGATGTACATTCTAAAATATATGAGCTGTAAATAGTACAGGAATATGTTTTATTCTCTCTTTTCTGTTATTCTTTTTCTTATATAAGTTGTAATCATTGCCCTGATGCAATACAGAAAATTCATTCCAATCATTTTCTTATATTCTTTTTTTTCTTTTATGGTATCAAGAGCTTTTCAAAGATTCTATGTCTACCACCTTTGATTCCGATCATGAGGAAACACCTCCTCCACCTCCTCCCTTTATCGACCCTAGCCAGCAACCTTCTAGCCCTTTCCACATCCATCCCAGTGAAAGTCCAACCTCCATTATTGTTACCCCTCCACTCACAGGGAACAACTACCAATCGTGGTCTAGATCCATTCGGATGGCCTTAATATCCAAAAACAAAATGGGTTTTCTCAATGGCGCTATTTCCATGCCAGCTAACACTGATCCTCTGTTTCCTCATTAGGAGCGGTGCAATACACTCCTCATGTCTTGGTTGATTAACTCTATTTCTTCTTCTATTGCCCAGAGCATCATTTTCTTCGAAAATGCTGCTACCATTTGGGCTAACCTTCGCGAACGGTTTTCTCAAGACGATTTGTTGCGTGTTGCTGAGTTACAGGAGGAGATTTACTCTCTCAAGCAAGGTTCTGCTTCTGTCACCGATTATTACACTACTCTAAAATCTATGTGGGAGGAACTAGACAACTTCCGTCCATTGACTCCTTGCACTTGCTCAGCCAAGGATTTTCATCACCAGGATTTCATTATCCGGTTTCTCAAGGGACTTGATGAGCGTTTTGCCATGGTCCGATCACAAATTCTACTTCTAGATCCCTTACCTTCTGCCAATAGGGTTTTCTCCATGGTTATTCAACACGAACGACAACATTCCACCAATACCTCACCGTCACTCGATGTTAACGCATTTGCCAACGTCGTCTCTGGTAGAAGTCGCAGCGTCCTACAGTTAGGGGGAAACAAATCATCCACTTCCTGCAAATGCGACCACTGTGGCCGCCTTGGTCACACCAGCGATGTCTGCTATCAGAAACAAGGAAACGTCGTTCCTAAGTGTGAACATTGCACGCGATACGACCATACCATGGATGTATGCTACATCAAATTTGGATATCCACCAGGTCACCCAAAATATCCGAGTCGACCTCGCCTTCCCAACAAGATTGGAACTTCCGGAGGTGGCGTCGCTGTCAACCACATCACTGGTGAAGGAAAACAAACCCTACATGGAAAAGAACATAACGATGGGTCATTTACAGTACCTAGTCCCAACATCACACAGGCCCAATTCCAACAGCTGATGGCTCTGCTTCAGAAAACTCAAGTTGGTGGTGCGAATACAAGTGAAGTACCCATAAGGGCCAACCTTAGTCACTCAAGCCCAAATTCCGTTTCTGATCTGTGTGGTACCTCTTTTATTTTTTCTATCAACACCACACACACACCTGGCATAATTAAGACACCCTGGATTATGGATTCAGGGGCCACGGACCATATCACTTGTTCCCTGCATTACTTTCACACTTACTCTAAAATAAAACCAGTAAAAATTAATCTACCCAATGAACAATTTGTTAAAGCCCACATTACTGGAACAATTTATTTTTCATCAAGTTTTGTCATTCATAATGTCTTGTATGTTCCTGGTTTTACCTTAAACCTTTTGTCCATCTCTAAATTACTTTCCAATCTTAATTATTCCATAATTTTCTCTCATATGTCTTGTAAAATACAGGAAGTGAACACATTGAAGATGATTGGTTCAGCTAAATTAAAGAGAGGATTATATCACTTGAAAATCGGAGACACAGGATCACCTTCACAATCACCTTCCACCATCAACAATATAAACATCAACCATACCAATGACTCTACTCTTTGGCATTTTAGATTAGGACATTTATCTGGAAATCGTCTTAACATTTTACATCATGCGTACCCTTTCATCTCTGGTAATTTTAATGAAATTTGTGATGTTTGCCATTTAGCAAAACAAAGGAAGTTACCATATTCTCTTAGCACTAATCGTAGCTCTAAAATTTTTGAGTTAATTCATATGGATATTTGGGGTCCCTTTTCCAAAAATTCTATTCATGGTCATAAATATTTTTTTACTATCATTGATGACCACAGTCGTTACACTTGGGTGGTTTTGTTAAAAACATAAGCAGAAGTTCAAACACACATAGAGAACTTTGTTGCTTTGGTTGAAAACCAATTTGAAACAACCATCAAGTGTATACGTTCTGATAATGGATCGAAATTTTTGCTGAAATTTTTTTTTTCTTCAAAAGGCATAATCCATCAAACAAGTTGTGTTTACACACCACAACAAAACGGGAGAGTTGAATGCAAACATCAACACATTCTTAATGTTGCTAGGGCCCTCATGTTTCAATCTAAAATTCCTGGAAATTTCTGGCCTTATGCCATCAAACATGCTGTCTTCTTGATTAATCGCGTTCCTTCTCCCGTTATTTTACACAAGACACCTTTTGAGCTTTTGTATAAACAAAAACCCAATTTTTCTATGCTCAAAGTTTTTGGTTGTCTATGTTTTGCTACAAAACACACCCCTCAACACAAATTTGATGCTAGATCTCGAAAGGGAGCCTTTTTGGGTTACGAAAATGGAATAAAAGGGTATGTTGTTCTTGATTTAAGCAACAAAGAAATTTTTATTTCCAGAAATGTCCTATTTCATGAAATGCAATTTCCCTTTCACAAAGACAGCCCACACACTATAACCATAAGCCCACAAATGGTTACCATACCAGTACCACCCATAGCCCAAGACACATCTCCTAACCTCACCACTCCCACTCAACTAGACGGATCCACCATCTCCAATGAACCAGGCCCGATTCCTCCCTCCTCTCCAAATCCCATTTCGCCGCTCCTTATGCATCCAGAGACACCAAATTCTTCTCCCTCATCTCCAAATTCATCACCACATGAGAACCCTCCTCTACCTCGTCGTTCAAATCGACCAAGCCAACCACCGCCTTACCTCTCCGATTACAAGTGCGATCTTCCACCTCTAAAAACCGTTCAATCAACTTCAACGTGCTCTTTTCCTATACAATCCTCCATCACATATGACATGCTTTCTCCCTCTCATCATCGGTACATCATGTCTCTGTCCTCTGAGTCTAAGCCCACCAGTTTTCACGAAGCCGCTCAACATCCATGTTGGCAAGAAGCCATGAGTCATGAAATTGAGGCCTTGATGATGAACCAGACTTGGGATATTGTTCAGACCCCTCCTCGTGTTCGACCCATTGGCTGCAAATGGGTTTACAAAATTAAGAGATTACCTGATGGCAGCATCGAACGGTACAAAACACATCTTGTTGCGAAGGGGTACTCTCAAATTGAAGGTGTGGATTATTTTGAGACTTTCTCTCGTGTGGTCAAAATGTCCACAATTCGTGTGGTGTTTGCCCTAGCTTCAATTAATCACTGGCCCTTCAACAATTAGATGTGAGTAACACATTTCTACACGGAGAACTATCTAAAGATGTTTATATGATGATACTGCCTGGACTGCCTGGATTCAACCCCTCTCAGAGTTGCAAACTTCGCAAATCCCTTTATGGTCTGAAACAGGCAAGCAGAAAGTGGTATGAGAAATTATCCTCCCTTCTCTTGACTTATGGCTATCAACATGCTCATGTTGATCACAGTCTTTTCATTAAGAATCATCATTCTGAGTTCACTGCCCTCATTATATATGTTGATGACATTGTTTTAACTGGTAATTCTCCTCGTGAAATCACTAACATCAATAGGATTTTGCATTCCAATTTTCACATTAAGGATCTCGACACATTGAAGTATTTTTTAGGTATCGAAGTGGCCCATTCAGCAAAGGGGATTTCACTATGCCAAAGAAAATATTGTCTTGACCTTCTCAAGGACTCTGGGATGCTTGGTTGCAAGCCCTCCTCTACACCTATGGATAGCACTCTTCGACTCCATGCTGATTCCTCTAGCCTTCTTCCTGATCCGCTGCCATACCGAAGGTTGGTTGGTCGATTGATTTACCTTACTAGCACTAGGCTTGACATAGTCTTTGCTACGCAACAATTGAGCCAATTTATGTCAAACCCCACTAAAGCTCATCACAATGCGGCCATCAAGGTTCTCCGTTATCTCAAAAGCTGTCCCGGAAAAGGCTTGTTTTTTCCTAGAAATTGTACTACTCAAATCCGCGTTTTTAGTGATGCAGATTGGGCAACCTGTGTAGACTCTAGACGATCCATAACTGGTTACTACCTCTTCATTGGTAATTCACTGGTTTCATGGAAGACAAAGAAACAGAATACAGTATCTCGTTCCTCTTCCGAAGCTGAATATCGCGCTCTAGCCTCCGCAACCTGTGAACTGCAATGGCTCATTTTTCTTCTTAGAGATTTGCAAGTTCTTCACTCACCTCAACCTATCCTCTATTGTGACAATAAAAGCGCTCTTCACATAGCTGCCAACCCCGTTTTTCATGAACGGACAAAGCACTTAGATATTGATTGTCATCTAGTTAGAGAGAAATCACAAGTCTGGTCTTATACAAGTCGCTTCCAGTTTCCTCTTCAAACCAATTGACTGACATTTTCACCAAAGCCCTCCCACCTCGCCTTTTCACTGTGAATTTATCCAAGCTCGAGTTAGTTGATATCTACCTATCTCCGAGTTTGTGGGGGCTAAAAGAAGAAGACCAGTGATTAATTAGAGCATAATACAATAGTTAATTCTCTTTCTGTTTCTTACCCAGGATGTACATTCTAAAATATATGAGTTGTAAATAGTACAGGAATATGCTTTATTCTCTCTTTTCTGTTATTCTTTTTCCTATATAAGTTGTAATCATTGCCATAATGCAATACAAAAAATTCATTCCAATCATTTCCTCATATTCTTTTTTTTCTTTTAACATTTAATATGTATATATTAACAAATTATCATTTCAATCTTTTAAAAGTACAATGCAGGTGTTGATTTAACTTAAGGATGGGTGTATTTGAGCAATCTAGACAAAAGGTAAATATTTTGCTTTGTAATATTTAACTTGTATTTTCGAGTAACAAACACATACTTGTTATAGTGTGGTATTGATGAATCATCACAAGATCCTTGAAATTATTGTCGGTATGTTATTTTGGTAAAAGTTAACAAAATAGCAGTGGCTCGTGAGGTTGATTCGTTTGCCTTTTAAAACAGAGGAATAAATATGTAAGAAATAATGAGGTTAAAACAATACTATTTTGGCATAGAACAGAATGAAGAAGAAGAGCACAAAGAAAGGAAAAGGGTATGGAGGGCAGGAGGAGATGGCGCCAAAATAGGAGTGGGAATGAATGAGATTGGAATCCCAAACATCACATGGGTTTCCGAAACATACGGCCCACAAAAGAGTGGTTTTTTCCTGTTTTGTCTCCCCCACGACTCTAACCACCTTTTAAACGCCATACCCTCTTTCCACGCACATCACATTTAGTTAACACAACACAAATCCCACCTCTTCCTCCTTTTCTCTCAGCTTCCCTTCTTTCTCTTTTCTCTCTCTTCCACACCAAAGAGAAGAGAGAGAAAGAAAGAGAAACTCTTGTAATTTGGAGATGGCAGGTATTTGCAAGCATTCGTTGGGATTGGGAGTTGTGGCCATGGTTGCCACTGTCATTCTTGCTCTTTCCATGCCTGCTGCTGTTCAGGCTCAAACTGCAGCCCCTGCACCTGCCCCTTCTAGCGACGGTATTTTTTTTTTAAATTACTAGTTTTTCCTGTGTTTTCTTCCCAGATCCACATCAACTTCCTTACACCAGATTAGAGGCTATTTGTAAGTTTTCTTCAAAATGTTTAAAGAAATCTATTTTTTCAAGCAATTAAGCAAAATAAATCCAATGTCTAAAAAGCTCGGCGAATACTTTCAAAAATCAAAACAAAGAAATATTGCACGCACCATGAAAAATATCAAGGACAATGTAAGTTACTATATTTCCAAATCTGTTACTCGAAGTTTATGCTTTTACATTTTAATTGCGTCAGAACCATTTTAATTAAAGAACAACAGTAAAAGCATACAAGAACCGTTTTTTTTTAAAGAACCTTTAAAATATACATAGGATAGATTATGAGCTTGGACTGTTTTATTTTTAATTTTTGAAGAAAATGCCAATATCTGATCTAATGTAATAAAAAGTAAGTTTAATCTAATGATTCTGTTTTGTGTCGCAATTCAGGGTCGTCTCTTGATCAAGGGATAGCATATATGTTGATGTTGCTGGCTCTGGTACTCACATACATCATCCACTCTGCCTAAATTTCCTCCACCCTCTGAATTTAGAGCAGAATAGCATAGTAGTGTTGTGTTTGTTATGATTAACAAGTTCATAAGTTGTGGAGCAAGAAGTGCCAAATGTAATCCTGGTGGGAAATTGATGTTAAAAGAGTAGATGTTTTGCTTATTATCTCAGTTAAGAAAGTGGCATGTTGTGTGCCATTTAGTGGCCTAGTGGTTGTGGTTGGTACCAGGTTTTAGACTTGTTATTCTTGTCAATGTTTTTCTCTTAGTAATATGATGGTTTCTTTTGGCAAAATGAAAGCATATCTGATTGATTAACAACAATAATCATCAATGAAATTACAAATCTATAATTCTGGAAACCAAAAATGACCATAAACAATTAACTAGAAACACATGTCATCAAGCAAATACGAAATTTTTTTTTTCTTCTCCCCATCCATTCCAATTCTATATTTGTATTCGCAGTTAACTGGAAACACATACATTGTAACATGTCATACATTCCATCCTATCTTGCAGAAGGGTTCAGTGTTTAAGCTGAACAGGGTAAAGTGGAAATGTTTGGCTATATATTAACCCAAGGCCGCAGTAACGATTAAGGTGGTTAGGTAAGGAAAAACTTGCATAACATCCTATGAGAGATGCAATGCAACCCATCGACTTAACTTCCCATTCAACTCTACACTTGAAACCAAAAAATTGTCGAAATCAAAATTATTTGTGAATATTTGAAATTCAAATTTGAAACCGAACAGCATCTGGTACATGAATAATTAGAAGGCACTTGTGAAGCAATGATTATATCAATGTAAAATCAAGCCTTCTTGGTACTGGGTTTAGTTGCCTGTTTTTCTTGTCCAGCCAGGGAAAAGTTTTTCACTTTCTGTTGGGATAGAAAATAAAAACCACTCAATAAAAAGCAGAAGAAAGCGCACCTATATTTAAACATCTTCAAACATAATCTTAAATATATCGAGCAATCAAGTTTGAGATGAAGGCAATGCCACAAAGAGACAACTCCGAAGTGCATAATTATGTTGCATCCACAGAAGACAACACCACCAAATATAGATTCTGATTAAAGCGTTTGAAAATTTGTTTTGGCATTGCCAGATCAAGTAGAACTCCAATAAAAATGTCATATACGAACTTCTTTCACATTCTAATGGTAGAGTAAAATAAGTAGTTTCAGATATTAATACGAAAATCATTAGTTGATATTTCATGACATTCATGATTTGTTATGTATATGTACCAAATATTAACTTAATTTTTCCACTAATATAAATATAAAACCTGCAAATTCACAATTAACTCCAAGGTTTCTCAATCATGAATAATTAAAAACCAACGACAAAGGACGAAATCAAGAAAATAAATTGATTAAAAAAAAAAAAACTCAAATCCAGCGTATCCTTAAAGAAAGTGTCGTCTACATGCCAAACGAGTACCGTTTACTTCCATCGCGATAATCATTCGTTCAGATATAGAAAAGAGAATGGATACAAAACAACGATTAGAGGAAATTCGATTGATTAACTTAACAGCTTTTTGTTTGAGAAAGAGTGAAATGGAAGAGTACCTTGGCGAGGACGCAGTCGCGCAAGGAATTCAAAAGGCGAAGGCATTGTTGTTCATCGTAGGGAGATTGAGTGACGCAATTGAGAAGAGCGAGAGCTTCTTCTGCACACACCGCTTTGGCTCCACCTTCTTCCATCTTCTGTTTTCAATTAGGGTTTTAGAGAAAAATGAATGTGAAAGTAAAAACCCTTGTTATTGTCCGAAAGAAAGGTTTCCTGGTAATCGAAAGGGAAAGGGATTTTTAAGGCGGCAATCGGTTTTTCAACAAACCGAAAATAAAATTATATGTTTCTAAACTTGAGAGATTAAAAATTTGAGGACCTAATTTATATTAAATTTTAGAATTTAAAACTTAATTCAACGTATCAAAATATACGTTTTTTTAGTTATCCTCATCATGATTGGTTACTAGTTTTAAATATTTATTATTTTACTACGTGACCTTTTGAAAATGAAACAATTAAATTTAAAATAGGATTTTAATTTTAATTTTTAAAATTAATTTATAAAAATACATTCGGATAAAACTATTGAAAACAATTAATCAATTTATACAATCCTTAAAAAATATATTCATTAAATTTACTTTATTTTAATTGATGAATTTATTTATTAATGACAAATTATTCAAAATTTAAAATAATTTTAAATAATATAACCCTAAAAATTGGCAACCGAAGTCTTGTTTCGATCAAATATCATCACATTTAAGTTAACCAAGAAAAATTACACTCTGCATAAATTGGAAGAAGAAAAGAAAATGCAGTCCAGTAATTAGTTGTTCTATTATTTTTATTATTATTATTATTATTATTATTTTTAACAATTTTAGGGAAAAATTCAACTATGAGAACTAGAGTCTAGAATTGGGAACACCAAAATCTCTTACATCTCTGCTTCATTAGGATCGAAGATAAAAAAAAATAACAGAACAACTAATTACTATTAAGATGCAGCTTACTTTGTTGATGTTGGGAGCATTGGGTGGACGTTATTGGTAACTGTGAATTGCGCAAAGGTTCATGTTGTGGGAGACAAATTGGGTTGGAACGTCCCCTTCGAACCAGGCTTCTTCGATGAATGGGCCAAGAAAAACACGTTCGTTGTTGATGACGAGCTTCGTATGTTTCCTTCCTCATCTTAACTTTCTTCAATACATAATCTATCCATTCATATTCACATCAATTTGAAAGCAACATATCGTTTAAATTTTTCAGTTCTAATTCATCTGTTTGCATAACGAAGTTTTTGGTTTTGATAAATTGTGAACCTTATACAAAGGTGAATGATGTGAAAAGTAAAACCATTAATGCAGTTTTCCAGTACCACCAACAGTTGGACACAGTGGAAGTGGTGGAGAAGGATGATTATGAAAATTGCACAAACACCAAAGTCATCCGCTCCTTGGTGTTGGGCAACTCCACCGTTCCTTTGGAAAAGCCTGGCGATTACTACTTCTTCTCTTCCGTCGGCAAGCATTGCGAGGCTGGCCAGAAGCTTCACATCACTACTGATGGATCCAAATCCAATCGCTAACTTCATCACCCTCACAATTTCTCCTCTCCCTGCATTCCTTCAAAGCTACTTTTTTCACCTTCTGCATATCTAATTGCAAAATATTCATGTAATAATTTATTGTTTGAGATGGAGCCAATTTTCATCTTCATTTCTTTCGTCTTAGGACACCCAAATACTGAAGTTGTGTTTATACCATTCTTTACTTGTACCGGGTTCGATCATAATGTTCTTCTTGGAGGCATCTTCCCCCAAACATTTTACCATTCAGCTTCATTAGTTTAATTACAAACTCAATTAATCAGAGAAATGCAAACTTTAATCGAAACATATATATATATATATATATATATATATATATATATATATATATAGAGAGAGAGAGAGAGAGAGAGAGAGAGAGAGAGAGAGAGAGAGAGCATTAAATTAAGTATGGTAGGTTGGAGAGAGAAAGTTGTGTGTGTAGTTAAGAATGGTGATAAATGCAAACATGCAGAATGCGAAGGCAGATACCTAATAGCCACAAGTATAAATGTAGTGTACCTAATTCTCACTTCCTCATCCTGTGTTCCAAAATCCCACTTTTTTTAAACCAATGCAATGCAATGCAATGCAAATTGTTCATACATGGATTCACTTCATCTACCAGATAGTGACGTATCAGTGCCCTATGAACAAAAACGTCTTCACGCAATACACGCATGCATTGCAATTGCACATCCTTCAAATTCATCTTTATTTCTCATAACCCCACACTTACTATAAAACATAATCACTCAGATCTTATCTGGAATGGCTATGACGCTTCAAACAAGGTACCTACCCCGTACTGTACCTCCACTCAGAATTCCATGTTCTTCATTTTAACATGTTTCTGTGGCCTTTTACTATAATGTCAAAAAATAACAACTACCCTAACCTTACCATGATGTGCACGAGAAATATTATATGGGAAACCGTTTTTCAGCGCTTAAAATTAATAATCTTTACTAAGAATGAGAATATGCCGTATATTGAAATGACGAAAAATATTGTTTTTAAAATAAAATTTTGATTTTTTTTATTCAAAAGGTAAAGTTAAAAAACGAGAAAGGGAAAGCTTATTGGACCGCGAGGTCTCTTTCTGTAGAAACAAAATAATTTTGAAAAGTGAAGATTATATTCAATTTTGTCCGCAACCAAGCTTAACTTATCCCTTTCTGCTTTTTCATGCGGTTAATGGCACAGTGCCATGAAAAAGTATTCAAGCATCGTGCCACTTGCTCCTCTCTGTTTGTGTCAGAAATAAAAAGAAAAAAACAACTGCACCTGATCGGTTTCCTTATTCAAATGCCCAACCGAATTTCCATGTTCCCTTTTGTAGAAAGTGTTGTTTCAGAGTGAAATTTTTTCTTTCTTTTATTTCATACCATAGCATGTTTATCACCAAGATTAAATTTTCACTAGAGAAACATGACCAAAGTGTAAGGTGTATTATGATGTATAACTGTGGCTATTTAATAAATTTATCAAGACAAAACAAAATAATTTTCTATGCTCTTCATCACCAGCTATGAATTAAATGTGGATTTAATCTGTCCCACTTGATCTTATTTTAAAGATCCCTTTTTTTTTTCTTTTGCTTTTCTTGGGAAGGTGGGTAACAAGCCTGAATTTGCCTAAACAGAAAATATAAACGGAAAAGAAGCTCAACAGTGTGTTTGATTTGGCTTTTAGTTAGCCAGAGGCAAAAGAATCAGTCTTTTTCTTTAATTGCTTTTAGCATCGGAAGAACAAAAAAGAAAGAGAGAGAGAGAGAGAGAGTAGCAGAAACAATTGACAAAGGCACAATGTAGAAAAATTGTTTTATAATTAAACTAACGTTATTTTAATCAATAAAATTAAGATGAAACCATTTCATTGTTTCAGAGTTCTACTCCTCTGCTACTGTGGATGATGGCCCATGTCTGCACAAATTAACCAAATATATAACCTTGATTCCTAAAGTTTTGAACGAAAATATCTGCTAGCAAATTTTTCTGGTAAGAAAGTGGTTCGCAAGGTTTGAATATCCGGTGAAGTGTGTAGGTGATGGCATTAATTTCACTCAAGCAAACACTAAAATAAAAGCATAAAATTTCCTGAGCACATTTAATTTACGTACCAATGTACAGTTTTGGTTAGGTGTCGGCGTTTCTTGCCAAATTCATTTAGCATTGTCTAAGACTTTATTGTACAAGAAAAATACATGTATCCAACGATGTTACTAAATGCAATATCAATGTCGAGTAACCAGATACATTAAATAAGCTTTTGTCTTCCAAATTATAAATGGAAAAAGTTACAAATGACTGGTCCTCATTTAGAAATTTTACTGTAAAATTTATTCCTTACAAATACATATGTTTAGACACGTGCGGCTGTTGAATGGTAAAATCAATTGTATGTTACAGGGGTGTTATGATAGAATCTCAGAATTAATTTGTGGTCTTAATTAATAATTATTATAGATTTTTAATTGATCAATAAATTCTTTACCTTACGGAGAGACATATGAAATTATAAATAAGAGTTATGATATTTTAGTTTAGCGAAAAACGCTAAATAAATACCTTTTTTACTATATTGTATGTGAACCAATAATTTTTGCATGTGCGATATGTAATCATGCTTTTAAAAACATAGGACAAAAATGTGCTTTTTGAATTAAACATGTAATAAAGTTAACAAGACACAAAATACAAGCATTTTTCAATTAAACAATCCCATAGAAGTTCATTAGGAAATTGGAACAGAACCCAAAAAAAATATACAAACACAAGGATCATAACCATAGTAAAACAAAAATCGAAAGTCATACATATGCTATAAAACAAAAATAAATGGCGAAGGGAGAAAGAAAATTAACCTATAAGAAGAAAAAATACGAGAAAATGTTATGAGCAGCTGTAATAAAAACATTAGCCGTGAGACTAAGGTTAAATGTTAATACATACAATGAAAAATATGTGATATTTGATGAGAAGGATAAGAGAAATATATATATTATGCCTGCCAAAATTAATTATTTAAAATTGTACTCTCTCTTTTTTTTCTTTGAGTGTCTTACTCAAATAAGAAACAAACATTTAGAAAACAAGACCTCATTTATATTGTTTGGAACACAAGCAAGACCTAACCTCTCATCTTCTCCTCCGTCTCCAGAGTTTGAATAAAATAAGATAAAAAAAAAAAAATTATCCTTCCTTCGATTTAATTTTCATCAAACTAACGAACAGAGACAACAACTGTGTCTATTCAAATTGTAATATTAATGTTATTGGTTGCCGAAATCCCACCATACAATGATGCATTTGAAAAAATAATCACGATTTATATTTTGAATTATGTCTCTCTTATTTATACTTTAGCAATTACATATGAATTTCCCCTAAAAACACTATTTTTTTGTGTGTATTTCAACAAATAGTTGATCTTTTTATTTAGATTTTCGTCGTAAAAGTTTAACGTTAAAAATAAATAATTATAATACTTATTAAATTGTAGTCAGGTAAAGACAAAATCAAACGATGTAGACCCGTGGATTCATATATATTATAGGTGACTGTGAAGAACGTTTCCAAAAATCCATGCGCAATGGCGGTTTGTTTTTACATGCAAAAACTGGTGTACCTAGAAGGTAAATTACACATTTGCTGGTAAAAATAAAAATAAAACCAAAGTGTTAAATTATAAGACAGAATTTGATATATATAATATATAAGAAACAAAAAAGAGGTACTCCGTGGGACGCACGGTTTTACAACTAGTGTGAATAAACATATGCTAGAATATAAAATCTCTCTCCTTACAAAAATACTACCAAATCAAAAAGGGAAAAGGAAAATAAAATAAACATATGATTTTTGCCTAAAACCCCAAAAACAAAACTGATAGCAACCAACCCTCGTACAAAACTGGCCATTTTGGTTGTTGGCAATACAATTACAGGACCAGAATGGTGTCTGAATCAAAGTGCGACAAGAGGATCCCAAACAAACAAATCCCCAATGTCCTGGAAATTATCACACTCTCTGTGCCAACTCTTAAACCCAAACCCAAACCCAAACCCAAAACCCAAATCTAAATTATCCTTCTCACTCACAAAGCTTCCACTGAAATCAAATTCGTCCTCCAAGAATATGCCATTACTCTCTGCCACGTTATTAGCACACTCGTCAAACGTATCCAACGTGCTTTCAAATCTAAATACTACATCGTCAGGAATACCAAACACTGACTCATGTTTCAACTTACTATCCTCCGAAACGCATGAATATTCGCACTCGCTCGCGGGACCAAAGACGTCGTTTGCAGCAACCGATTCAACTTCCTCGGACGCCGAACAGCACCTAAGAACCGAAGTGGGGGAACGCAACTCGTCGTTGCGAGACTCCTCGCCGGAGAAGTAACCGGTTTTTCTGCCCTCCGCCGGCGGCGTTATGAAATTGGTGAGCGCGTCTGCGCCGCGCAGCTGAATGGCGGCATTGTCGTACACAATGGCGGCTTCCTCCGCGGTGTCGTAGGTTCCCAGCCAGAGCCGCACGCGACGAGACGGGTCCCTTATCTCCGCCGCCCACTTACCCCACGGTCGCTGTCTCACTCCGCGGAACTTCCTCGCCCCCATCCGCCGCCGACTCGGCGGAGTGCCGCCTGACTTCGCCCTTCTTTTCCTGGAAACTTTAACGCCGGCGCCTTGGATGGTAATCTCGTTGACGAAGCTTTTGACTCGGCGGCGCGTGGAGGACACGGAGGGCTGGTCCTCGTCGCTGGAGGAGTCGGTGGCGTCGGCGTCGGTGACTCGTATTCGGACGAGCTTGGGATAGTGATGGTTCTTCTTCAGAAGGGTGTCTTCTTCCATGAAGAGTTTGGTGCGTTTAAGGTGTTGTGTTTGCTTGATGGTTGATGAAGCCATAACAGCATTGAAGGGTTACAGTGGAGAGGGTTGGTAGAGTGAAAGGAAAAAAGAGAAAGAAAAAAAAAAAAGGAGAGAGTAAGAGAGATTCCTTGGAGAATGGAGAGAGTGGACACGAGCGGGGAGGGGTGGGAGAATATAAATAAAGAAGGGAAAGGAAAGAGAAAACACGTCAGAGAGAAGCTTAAAAGGGAGAGAAATCAGAAATGTAGCGTCAATATGGGTTAAATAGTGTTTCTAAAGTTATTAAAGAACGAGAAGGTTCAACGAAAGTTATGTTTAAAAGGAGAGAATAACAGCGTGCATCACTGCTCGCACCAGCGTGGAACAAAAGAGATGTAAGAAGAAATGTTGTAGCTTAGAACCCAGCACCCACCACATGTACCCTCTGGGACGAAGAAAAAGTGTACATTTTTTCCGCTAAAGTTGAAGGATAAAAAAAAATATATATATATAAAGAGGATTTAATTTTAACAGTTTCTATGACCAGAAAAGGGAATAATATAACTGCAACAAAATAACAAGGATGAAGTAACTAACTCAACTGTGCTCTCTAGGAGGTGATAGCATAGACACAGTGTGTTTGGTGAGAGGGTAGAGGAAGAAGAAAGGGTGAGAGTGGAGGAAAGGATACTTAGGGAAATGAAAGGCAAGAAGGGTATTATGAATCCTATTCCAATGGACCTATGAGTTACACTTACACTGGGTTTAAATGGCATTTAATTTAATTGAATCAATTGGTGTGATTTATTTTATTGTTTTTTTGTTAACTTTTGATGGAAGGTGATGCATATAGAAACTATACGAAACACGTACCAAATGTGGCAGAATTAAGGCAAATAATAAACCGACACGTGGGAGGACAGAATGCATACCCATCACGTGAGAGGAGACATTTTGGCTCAGGTCATCCATTCTTTGACTCAAAAGAACACTCCTCTTCCTTCTTCTTATCCCCAACTCAATTTAATATCCGTTGTTACTTCCCATGCAACTGTAGATTCAATTTCATTTCAAGGGTTTTTCTGTTTAGGTTGTGTGCATCTTCTGTTCTGAAAATTCGTAGTGGGAGATACATGCAAATGCCTTTTAATTATGCGTATTTTTGGCTCATGAAGTCATGATTATTGATTGATTGGATATAATTGTTTATTTTTTCATGTGTATTGAGCCACAAAGGAAGAAGGTTCTTTCAAATTAACCGCACTCATATGCATCCTTTCATATCTTATCCTCAAAAGTAAGATGGGCACGGTCACCAATTTACCACCTTTGTTTCCAACATTGTTATTATTATATCATTGTAATCTCTGAGACTACCACGTTCACATTATACTCTCAAAAGTCAAATAATTCAACCACTTCGATGTTTTATAAATTTTATACTTTCTATAAATTGATAAGTTATGCCAAAGTTGTTAAATATATATTCACAAATGATACTAAATGAAGGTACGAGCACAGTACAATTGAATGGAATATCCGGTTAAACCGATAGGTAAATGAGGTGCAGTTTACGGAAGAAAGAGTTTGAACACTTTAATTGAAGTAAATAAGAGAATGTTGTAAATGATATGGTAATGATTGAACATAGATTACAAAATAAAATTACTGAAATCATTTACAGTTCCACTTAATTAATCACTAATTCATCGATGCTATCATTACTCATTTGTGTCAGAACAGTTTCCAAGCTGTGATTCTCATTTTTCAATGTAATTCAAATGCTTTTCTTTAACAATAAATAAAATATAATCAACAATTAATAATTAATTCAATAACAGTTTAATATTAAACGAACTAATAACATATAATGGTTGATAAATCATGTCACAAGTGCGTTTTATTTGCTTCTTATTTTAATTCACTTTTTAGCCTATTCAGAGACACCATTAACCAATAGTAAAATAGTTACCAAATAAATATTAATAATTATTAATTTATGCATAGCATAAAATATAAAGCCAACAAAATAAATTCTAACAAATATAAAATTTACTTTATTTAAAATTTGGGAGACTTCATTGGAAAACTTAATTCAACATTTTATTAATATAAGATGAAACTGAACAAAATAAATTAATCATAGGTTGTTTTGAAAAACCCCTTTATCTAATTTATTCAAATCATTGAAGAAATTTGATTTATTTTACTTTATTACTTCCTCCTACTTCCTACATGTTGACACAAGTTTATCTACCCAGATGTACCAAAAATAGTTTATCTACTCATAGTTTTGGAGGTTTATGCATGTCCTCTAAGAACATACTAGGGGGCAAGAAAACTTGGTACAGACTCGTATAGCAGAAAGATTCACTGGAACAGATTAACATAAACTCTCCATCTTTGAAGGGACCATGTGCATGCGAGAGCTGCAGCATCTGCCATCAGGATATATACATACCACCCTTTCAAACATATCAATTTCTAAGATCTATCTGATCAACCAACACTGTTTGGTTCTGCACAATATTCAGCACCAAACTTATTTTCTTTCTATAAATAAAATTCAAATTTTACTCCCACAGTTTCTTCAATACTTAATTAGATAATTCAAAATGGGTAGCATGTTCATTGTTAGTTTAAACTCTTACTGAAAGAGCTGCACCGATGCACATGACTCTACTGCATTAATTAATGTCTTGTCTTGTGTATATAGAATATATCACTGTAAGAACAATATAAAATTTAAACTTAATCCAATGGTAACAGGCTCTTACGTATATGCTTCTTTCCAATAATGCATAATCTCATTTATTAGAGTCTGCATCAAACATTCAACAAGCAACGATATATAGGTTATAGTATCATAACTTTAAGCATTAGAGTCGATATGATAGTTATAAATGGCCTTAAAAATTTTGATCCTTTCCTCTTTTCTCCACTCCAAAAATCTAACATGCAAGGAGATGGCATCTGCATCTTTTATGGGTAATGTATAAAAGTCGGTGGAAACATTTAAATACCTTTGCAATGACTCTCAATAAGTTAGGGAAAAAAATTTAACATGGACCTTCTATGTTAGATACTTTTGACCAGAGTAATAAATGGAAAATTGAAAATGTGATCTAGCTGAGTTGATCTGCTTATCCAAAGTTAGCTGCACCTGTAATTAATACCATCTTTATCTTCCTCCCTTTTCATCTTTCTCATGAGAGTTGGAATTCCCCTACACCCGCATTATACCAGAAAAAGAAGTTGGAAAGGAATTACTATAGTCCATAGTACAAACTTTGGAACCTTTGATGCATCTTTCCAAAACTGTATATTCAATTTGAATGTAAGTTTGATTGAACATTCACATACTCGATTTAGAATTGTTTGTATGTTGCAGGTTAATGTTGATTAAAAAGGTGTAAAGTGAGAAAGTTTATAATTAGATAACTCTATGTAAAACGTGATTTTGGTAGAAGTAATGGTTGGTGCCATAAATTTGTTGAAACCTGTGGAAAAGTTACTACTAGAGCAATACTTTTGGAACATTTAGGTAAAACCAAACACATTGGTGGTTGATTAATTTATTTTCCTTATATGGAAGTTCTAGTTGAATGGACTTGAATGGCAAACCATCATCAAAGGGGTCATTTACTGCAATCCAAATTCTGCATTCTGTGGTCTTCTTTTGTTAAAGTTTTCTATTCAATGTTCATTTGTCACAGTGAGACACTGCTTCTTGAAGGGAAGGGGGTAAAATAGAGAGATAACTACTTTTTATTGCTTTTTTGGGCTACACTTTTTCTTGGGGGTGTCAAAATGTATTGAAGTGAAGGAGCACATGTGGTAGTGTTTTTTTTTCTTTGTTTACATTTTTAATTTCTAAAATTGTCACTTTATTCTTGTTTTGTTTCCATTTTAGTGAGTTGTTTTGATTGGTTCTTGTTTTCATTTTGGTTAATGTTTTGGCTATAAAATTTTAAAAACAAGAAATATATTGAAAATAAAATAATTGTTTCATACTTTATAAATATAAATAAAAGTAAAATGCCCTCAAACATAAACATTTATTTTCACTCAAATTTTAACAATTTTTCTTTTGAAAAAAGGGTCCACCAGCTCGTTGGTGTTTTATTAAGACTTTTGCTATTTATACTCCCTCTAATTGCTAAACTCCACTGTTCGTTCCTTTTTTTTATGTATTTTAAAATTACTCTATTAACCTTAGATTTTCCCCTTTCACAAATCATTTTAACCCTGGCTTCTCTCTTTTTGAGAAAACAAATAAAGTATTATCATCATAGTAATTTCAAAATGTATTTTCTGACGCTATGATAGTACTTTCCAGAACTCTCTTTAAGGTGTTTTTCGAAATGGTAAAGGTAAGTCTGAAGAATAAGGTTTATGGTTTATAATTTTTTTTGGATAAAAAAATGTTAATGAAAATAAAGGAAAAGAAAGTTCAAATAGGAATTTTAGGGAATGTAAATAAGAAAAGCCTTTCTCCAATTTGTAATGGGCTAAAACAGAACCATCTTAGCCCAAACTACTTTGATAGTAGAAGCCAACTTTCTTTAAAATGCTTTCCGTCATCAAGTTCAAATATTTTTCACAGCCAAATTTCTATGTGACTAATCGAAACTCATACTCTAAATACTGAATTTTGCATGACATGACAGAAGCTCATTTTCCTGCATTGATCAATGGCCACTTCCATGTATTGTGTTAAAGTCTTTATTAAGAAGACCCGAAAGAAAGATCCAAAATCCCTCTTAGCTAATGGTGTAGGCCACAAATTAAAAACCTATATCACCCTTTCTACAAGAAATGAATATTAATTTTTAACCTTTTTTTTGTTTTTGGTTTTTACCAAATTCTTGGGAGTTGTTCTGAATGGTACAAGGAAAGCACCTTTATAGAGCAACTATCATGTATCTGTTAAAACTAGGTAGGTATGCTTCTTTCAATACAGCAATAACTTCATTTACCACCTCAATTTCTCTCAAAAGATCCTAACAGGATTGTTTCTACTTGGTTTTGGACGAGGTTTGAGCTTGCTTTAATCTTTTTCAAATGAATGTAGAACAAAAAAAGTACCTGTAAACAATTGCAGAATCAATTTAATTTTAAGAGAACTAATTGAAATAAGGGTTCCTCTGATCTCATTTTTACAATAGAAAAAAAGAAAAAGAAAAAAGAGAAGCTTGGGGAGGAGGAGAATAGAGAAGGGAATGGCTAGGGAAGACCTGCAGTGCTGGATTTATGGAGTTTTGAAGGGCAGGCAGATGAAGCGGGAGAGTGAGGAAAACAAGGGCACGGTAAAAAGAAGGGAAGGGGGAGGGGAGATAGAAAAAGAATAAATAAATAAAATTGGAGGAGAGTAGAAAAAAAGAAAGGAAAAATAAATAATAAATAATAAAAAAAAGGCGTTGAAAGGTGGATGGAAAGAATACGTTAAAAAATTATATATATTTTTTAAATTATACATTTATAAATTTTAATTTTAAATATATTTTTACACGTAATTTTATTTTTATTTTTATTTTAAATATTTTAATTTTAATTTTAGATTATTTTTCAAATAAATCTAAATTAATATAATTTAAAATCTTATTTTATTTTAAAAAATTATCAAATAAATTTTTTAATAAAAATTTAAAATTATATTATATTTTTATTTTTGTCAATAATGTTGATAAAGATAGAAAATTTTTAATTTTTTACAATTATTATTATTATTTATGAATATATGATATTTATTTTAATTTTTTAATAATTAAAATTTAGTTAATTAATAATTTTTAAAAATTATCAAATTGAAATTTATTAGGACAGAAAATTATAGTAGATCTCTCATAATTGATTTACCATAAAATAGAAAATGAAATACAATCTTTAAACAAATATTATTATATCTACCTTGATACAGTAACACCCACTATTCTGAAATATAAAATTACTCTTCCATATAATAAAGATATATTATTTCACAAATTATCAGTAATCACTCATATTATTTTATAAAATATTTGATATTTTTTATTACTTACATATTTATTTACTTTCTTAGGCATGAAAGAACTTTCGATGATTCTTCTTCCTACATGGCCATTTTTTTATAATTGGCGCATTCATTCATCTTTCATCATTCCTCCAGCAAAACTGCGATCCAAATCAATATTTTATTGATTTATGGAAAATTTGTAATGTTTATTTATGTATTATGTATTAATCATATAACATTATAACATAATCAAAGATATGTATTAATAGAGTAGACAAATGAAAAGGATGAAGCAAATTTCTCAAAAAATTCCTATATAAAAGAACAGAGACAGTAGTTGTTAGAGACCTCTTGCAAGGGAAAAACAACAGGTTACAAGGTTCACCTTCTTAGTAAAGACTGGCTCACAGTTCACACACACACAAGGAATGGTTCACATTATAACCAATTCATTGCTATGCCAAGGCATAGTTCTTCCTTCTACTAGGGTCAAATCAAATTACTAGTCACCAGTTAATATTTAACCAACTCAGGCAACTTAAATATGAGAAAAAATAATAATGATAATAATAACCACGCTCTTGTTTAGAACTTGGAGCTAAAAATTGACAAGATACACTGAAATCAAACAAAGGGTGACATGACACCTTTCTTTCAATCACTTCCTCTTGGGAAGTAGGAGGGAGTGGAAGGAGAGTTACCACTGTCACGTTGAGATAACTTAAGTTGTTCTGCTTGGTTCCCAGATGATGAGTAAAGGTCTGCATCAATCTGCCTCACATTTTCTATCATCTTCACAACTTCAGACATCTTAGGCCTCTGATCAGGCATCCTCACCACACATGACATGGCTATCTGTAACATTTCCACCATCTCTTCTTCAATGTTTGGATATCTCATCAGCTCTAGATCAAACACTTCAGCTGTCCACTCCTCGCGCACAACTGAATGAACCCACCTCACAAGGTGGATAATCTCATCACCACCAGTTGTGTGGATAGGGGATTTCCCAGTCAGAAGCTCTAGTAACACCACACCAAAACTGTAAACATCTGAGGGCTGCGCTGCTTTTCTGGTGTCTGTCACTTCGGGTGCCCGGTAGCCGGCTGCTCGTGAGATTGGTAAGGCAAGTGAGCTTGATATGGTTGCCAGACCAAGATCAGATACACATCCATACTGTTTGTTGTTGAGAAAAATGTTTGAGGATTTGATGTTTCCATGTACGAGCTTGCCACCGTTCTCAACATGGATACGAGCAATGCCTCTTGCAGCACCTAGGGCTATTTTCAGCCTCGTGTCCCAATCTAAAGGCACCCTCTCCTCTCCTCTTTTGCCTGAAATTTTCAGAAAGAATAATGGATTTTACTCGTAAGGACAGTGCATAGATGTAGTTAGTTAAGTAATGGGTAGAATTACTAAACTAGCATTTTTTTTCTAGACAAATAATTTATTTGCATAGTTTGAATCTTGACTTCTTTTGGAAAACACAGCTTGTTCATTATTTGAGTGCTTGAATAAGTTTACCTACCATTTGTAAATAATATGAAGCTTGGCAGTCATTCTTCAATATACTAATATTAATAACATATAACAATAAGAATTTGAATTTGAACGGTATGATACAAGTTAAAATGAGAGAAATCAAAGAGAATAAAAAATGATAAATGTATCAACACATGTCATGGAAGTATATGCTCAAAGTTTAACTTAGAGGAGGACAATTTAGATTTAAAGTAAAAAAGATGTGTAAAGTATAAAAAGATGCAAAGTTGTATTCACCGATGATATGAAATGTGTTAACTTTACAGTATGCTTTAATTCAAAACAATGAAAATATCTTACTTTCTCACTTTACAATCTTTATTTTAAATTAATCATACACATAAGAAGGTAGATGAATTTTATCAACATACGTACACAATAAGGCCTCGTGCTTTGACATATAGGTATGCTTGTCAATGACTATAACTAAGCCAGAGAAATGAACATGTATATGAAGCTATTTGATAATTTGAATAATCAGCCGTTTCTACTACACATTTTAATTCAAAGCCATGGAAAACTTTACCTTCTCACTTCACAGTCTTCATTTTAAATGAGTCAAATTCATTCGAGGAATGACACTGAAGTTTTGTGAAAATAAGTGTAAGAAGACCTCGTATTTTAACAGTCAGGCATGCTTGTCAGTGATTACCACTAAGCCAGACAAGTGAACATGCATATAGGCAATTTGAATAGTTAACACATCCAGTTTTATACGAATATTGTTCATCGAATTTGGTAAATTTGACAATAGATATCTTCACTTATTGATCTAAGTGCATTATTGCGACTTAGAACATAAGAACATAGGAAGACAAATTGCAATGAGCAAAAACAGAGGTACGTACCATGCAGAATGGAAGCTATGCTCCCCTGACTGTGGTAATCGTATACCATGAGTTTCTCATCTTTGGAATAATAGTATGCCTTGAGCTCAACCACATTCTCATGCTTAAGACTTCCTACAATCTCCATATGCTGCTCAAAATCTTTCTTTCCAACAGCTACCTCCTTTAACCTCTTCACAACAACGGTGGTTGCATCCTCTAGTATTGCCTTGTAGGCAGTTCCAAACGTTCCCTTTCCTAGCACCTCAGCAGAAGCCCTCAGCAAATCCTCTAAATCAAAGGCATAATTACATCCCTCAAAGAAAACTAGCTTATTATTTGCGTCCTGGTTCCTCGAGACTGCTTTCTCAGGCGACATTTCTCCCTTGTGCAACTTCCCACTGAAGGTCTCCTCATCCTCATCACCTCTTCTTGAGCAGCACACAAAAGTCAAAGAAACAAAAGCCACGAGGCCTAAAATACCAGCAGCAACAACCACTCCCAACAGTGCCGCTTCACTGAGCCTTCCATGCCTCCTAGACTTCAAAGACGACTCATAAGCCGGTTGAGGTGCGGGAGAAACTGTAGGAAAACTTCCAAAGGAAATATTATTCCCAGAGAATGAAGACTCAGGAAACCTCAACAGGGATTTGGGCACACTTCCCTGGAAGTTGTTGTTGGACAGATTCAGCACCTGCAACCTTGACAAGTTGAGGTCAGGAATTTCCCCAGAAAGAGAGTTGTTCGCAAGGTTCAAACCAGCAAGCTGAGGCAAGTTGTTAAGGGAGACAGGAATGCTGCCATTGAAATGGTTATTGGACAAATTGACAACAGTGAGGTTCTGCCAGGCCGAGAAATCAGGTAAAAGCCCAGACAAGTTGTTGAACTGAAGATAGAGGAAAGACAAGTTCCTTAGATTGGAAAAATCAGAAGGGAACTGCCCAGTTATCACATTGGATCTGAGACTCAAAGTTTGCAGTGCTGAGAGGCGGCTAATAGTGTCAGGTGGAATAGTGCCATGAAATCCAACCCCTGGCAACCTAATTGCAATTACTCTGGACTGGTCTTCATTGCAAGTCACACCAGTCCAAGAAGCACACATCGGGGAACTCTCATTCCAATTCAGAGGCCTAGAAGGAGGGAACTTGTTCACAAAGTCAAGCAACGCCTCCTTATCTTCAACAGGCTCACCACTTCCTTGCCACACAACCAAACACAAAAGGGATATGGAATAGAAAATGGGTAGAAAGTCCATTTCAAATTTTCCTTCCACTCCCAACAGCAGTAGGAACGAGGAGTTTCTCCTGCTACCTTATTTACACGGCAACACAATAGTATTTCTCCAAAGACTGAAATGAATCACCACAAGTTTGTTAGTTTAAACAAAAAAGATACAATTTCCCCTTAAGACAAAGGGGAAACCCGAAAAAGAGAATGAAAATTAAAAAAAGTGTGGAAACTGGAAAAGGAAATCTGATTCCTAGAAGATTGTCTAAGAAAGTAGAAGCGGACACTGAGAAACTTGTGCATAAAAGAATGAGCTTGCAGGTTGTGTTTTTAAGTTAAAGAAAAGGGGAACATAATTTATTTAATCTGTTTTAAAAAAAGAAAAATAAAAGATAAGAAAAGTAATAGTGTGTGTTCAACTTGTAGCAGATATGGTGCATCTTTTGGCTCTTTATTTCGCAGCAACTTTTCAGAGGACATGGCAGAACCGAGAGAATTCAAATTTTATTGGAAGATAAAGGAAGTTGAATTGAAACTCACTTGGCTCTAAGCCATTTTACCTTCTCTGCAGATCTGATTAAAGAATGTCCTCTTTGTCCCGTAAAAGAAACAAAACAAAACAAAACACCCTTTATGTTTTACCTTCCGCAGCTGCCCTATCACAAACTCAAATAAGATAATTAATTACATAGAGAACGTGCAAAAGAGTAGAGAAAAAAAAGGCACTAGTTCTGATTTTGAAGGAACAATGTCACGGTGCTCTCAGGTTAGCATGCTAAAATTGGAACCATCCAATGCAAAATGAAAGAGGGAGTTAGCAAAATGCGGTTTTGTGATGAGGGTAGGAGAATGTGAGTGGAAGAGAGACACTAGATTTTGAGGAGCATTCAGCAACGGCTCTATTTGGTGCGGTGAGTGTAACAGTGGGAGAGAAAATTGGAACGTCTGAAACAGTAACAGAGACACGCATGGAGCTTAATGGCGGTGCCACTAAGAAGTGGAGAGTGAATGCGGAGAGAGATTGGAGAGAACAGAGAATAACGTTGGAACGGAAAACCGCTGATGCTATGTTGATGGGAGGATGGGTTTATAGGGATCACTGACGTGGGCGAATTAGACATTGACATGTGGGTCCGTTCTTATGTCCTAGGTTTTTTTTTTTTTTTTTTTTTTTTTTTTTTGGCTTCCAAAGATAAACAAACATTATGTCTCTCATTTTGGATTTATTTTTGGACTTTAATTTTTCCCAATTGTTTTGTTGCTATAACATTCTTAGATTCTCGATTAATTAGAATTTTAAACTTTGATCTTGATATCTAATCAGAATATTGGGGAAAAATTAGTTAAATTGGCATTAAGGATACATTTTTGAGAAGAAAATAATTTGTGTTTTTAGTTTGATATTTCTAAAATTTTGAATTTTGGATAATTTTTATAAACCAAATGTTTGAGATTAACTTACATCTGTTTTATTTTTCAGTTCATCCGTGTGAATTTATACAACTATAATAAAAACATGTTAAATACTATCCTAATATTTAAATTCGAAAACTTCTATTGCTATTTTATAATTGCAAGTGCTTGTTTTGTATGGTCAAATCATTAAAATTGAGAGTTTCTTTTATATTCAATATACAACTATAGAAATAAATGTTTAGACACTGTACTAAATAGTTATTAGTTTTACTTTTTAATATATATATTAATTATGAGTATATGTTATTTGCATTGATGGTGTAGAAGATTTTTATATTGAATTTTAATATAAATTATGATATATAATTAATACATTAAATTGCATAATAATTATTTTAAAATTATATTAAATGTTTTGTTAAAGAAATATTGATGATAAAAAGTGTACCTAGACATAGGGTATCCGTAAAAATATCCACAAATGGGTAGAGTAAATACATGCTTATTTGAGATGTACTATGAGGAATTTACTAGGAAAAAAAATAGGAATAGGGGTAGCTATGTATACTATAGCACTAAACCTGTCCCACATATATATAATATTTAACATAATTAATTATATAATTAAATTTAAAAATTATTATGTTTACAGTATTGTTAGGTTACGATTTTTTAAAGACTAACGTATGTATAATGAAAAAGTAAACTAAATTACTATAAATATGAAAAATTGGAGTGTGTAATAGAAATCTTACTTAACATGGATGTAACAACTCGCGAGGGCATAATCATACAAAAGGATAAAGTTCTTGAAGTAGACCTATTCACTATTTGCATGATAATTTGGAGAATAGTTTTATATGTGTGATAATTTATATTATCATTTGTAACTCTAGTATATAATCATACAATTACTCCATAAAGACCTAAAACTAAATATACTCATCAAGTTACAATTTTTTTAGGAGAGGAATATGGGGGAAGGTGGGAGCAATGAGTAGCAGGTTTAGGTGGGTGGTGAGTGGTGAAGTGATGATTAGTCCTTTTACAATAACGACAAACAGATGATGTTGTCAATGGTCCAACGCGAAAAAGGACTTTTGCAACTGCCCCAAAATTCCAGTAATGATTTTTTGTATAATTGCATAAACGACTTCGTTTGTGTTTAATGTTTTTTTTTGTAATTTATTTATTGGTGAAACCACGTACGAGCATATCTTATCCATATCTATTACTTCTACTCTATTCATCTTTTTAGATTATCAATCTCCAACATTATAGTATTCTACCATAAATAATGTACATCAACAATGCATCTTATGCTAATTCTTTGCATGCTTTGATGAAAACAGTGGTCATTTTAAAGGAGTGTGTTGTTAGATTTGGAATTGATTCATCAGTTTAAAATTATCACCCACTGGGACATCATTAGTCTTAATTTTCAACTCTGCCAGAAACTACTGATAACATAATCATAGCTTATGATTGATTTTACAAAAGAAAAAAGCCACAGTTTAAGGGGAAATTTGTTCTGTGGTGAAATCAGATATGTAATGTGTTTTTTTATTTAATATGAATATTCTACGTGGAAACACTCCAAATGCTTGTGTAGGTGCAGAGTCAAACCCATCAAGGTTACTAAAAATGGGATTCAAGATGGTGGGGTATTAATTAGATTCAATGGTTAGCTTTGTTGAATGATCCAACATTGGTTAAGTAGGAGAGTGAAATAATAATAATATAATAATAATAATAATAATTAAAGAATATTATTTTTATACTGTAATATAATATATAAACAATATTACACTACTTGAAATTCTCATGTTTTATAGGAATATTTTTTTAATTTTTTTATAAAAATTACAAGAAATGAATTTTTTACACATTTAAATTATTTTTTACAAGAACATTTGCAGAAATAAGTAACTGTTAAATAAATCAGAACAATGGCCAATCTTTGTAACGTTACAGTATTAAAATTTACTTATAGATTTCAAAACACAAATCATATAATTAATATTTAAATTTGAATAAGATCAATTAACTGGGTCATAACATTTAAGTTTTAAAAAAAAAGCATATACACCAATGTGTTTAATTAATATATTAGGACGTCTCAGATTTTTTAATTAATATTGCAAAATCAAACTTTATAGAATAGTAAGAACAAATATCTCACTAAAATTAGTTAAGTATGTTTCAAGAAGATATTTTGCATCAGTAACCAAATTAAAAATATATAATCGAAAATATATAATTGAAAATTAAATAAATATGTATTCAAATAATAATAATAATAATAATAATAATAATAATAATAATAGCTGGGAAATCATGTTTAGTTTGTTCAATTTTATATTAAATTTACATCGATTTATAAGTTCAACTTTGAAAAAAATAAATTGAACCAATATGTCTTTGTTTCTCAATTTAACTCACTTGATAATCATATAAAACGGGTTGAACTCAGTTTGATACTAGGTGGTGATATATATTTTTAAATAAAATATAATTTTTATTTAATTTAATTTTATGTTAGATCAATATAGAATATAGATTAATGAGACAAAAATTAAAAAACAATTGTCAATATAAAAATAATTAATTTAAAAAAATTAAAAATATATTAATAATTTTTTTTATTTTAAATATATAAATTAGAAGGAAATATGTTTATTTAATATTAAGAATTAAAAAATTATTATTCATTATCATCATTCAATTTTTTTAATGATTTATTAATATAAAATAATAATTTATTTTAATTATTAGATAGTAAAATAAATAAATATTAAAATATTTTTAGAATAAATAAATATCTTATCAAATTAGTTTATAATATATATTTTTAATAAAATAATATTATCTTTATTTTTATTTAAAAATTTATTATTATTTATATAAAAAAATGACTTCGTAACTATAAGAATTAACCTAATTTAAATAGATTGGGATAAAATAGACCTGATTCAACTTAGATCATATATTTTTTAATCTAATTAAGTCTTATAAATTGGTCTATTAATTTATATATTTTTTAATTTAATTAAATCTTATAAATCGGTCTATTTAAACATATTTTAACTCTAGTAAACCTATTTTGACACCAATATTAATAATATATAAAAATAAATAAATTGTACATGGATTTATTTCCTAACCCGTAGACAAAATATATATTTTTTAAAATAATACTTTCATAAAAAAACATATTACTTAAAATGAACTTTATATTACTTTAAAAGTCTTATAGGTTTAATAGATTAACCTATTTAAATAAATACAAATAATATTTTTCATTAATATTATTATAATATATTAAAAATGTATATAAGAAAAGTGACTCTGCCAGTTAAAAAAAAACTCTATTTCATGTGATATATGTGTGGAAAATTAATAATAATAATCCTGATTTTGATTCTAACGATCAAACATAAACGTAATCTCATACTGATAAATATATTGTAAACTGAATGCGAAAGCGTACCTGAATTAGCCCTAACGATGATGTCTTTGTAGAGCACTATATTGATCTTATGGACTTCCACCTGAAGAGCACCTGTATTTCTCTCTTGATTTTCTCTCTTGATGGGGATAGAAAGAAAGGAACGGGACTGATACTTACGTTCTGTGTGTGTGCTCCCAAAATAGTCCATGACCCTTTAGATAACCAGAATTAGATTAATTACTTAAGTTTTAGTATTTCCAATTTGACCCCTCATCAAATTAGAAATTGTTCTATAGTCTCTACACAATTTTATTTTCATGACATATGTCTTTAGTAAAAACTTTAATTTAGTCAGATCACTTTATTATTTGGCTTAATAAATAATGGCCCTAACACATTTAAATTATGTATCATATATATACATGACCCAAATTTTGCCAACAATCTCCCACTGGTCACAAATATATATGTTCTTACAACCTTACAAATGTGTTAGACTTTATGAGCTCAAAATTGTCATTATATTCCTTTAGCATACTCCAAAAGTCCTGTCCATTAATCATATCAGGATATAGAACCAAACCAGCTTTTCATTGCATAATCGCAATTAAAACCAACAATGATTACTCATCCTAACATAACTAAATGACATGGATTCATCATGAAATGTGTAGCATGAAAAATTACGTGAAGGTGATATGTACACGTCTATTTTCAACTGATCCAAACTTTAACTTATCGAGATCGATATAATATCCTTAATGTACAAAGTGTAATGAATGAACGAAAAAACCGCATATCTATAGATAACCAAATATGTCCAAAAAAAACAATGTATACATATATGAAATTAAACATAGAACATAAAATATATGAAAGTGACTAACTCCCACTAAACCACAAATTCCTCAAACTGTAAAATACCCATGTGAACAAAATGCTCATGAAAGACCTTGGGCGGAAGTCCTTTAGTTAGAAGATATGCTATCATGGAGTTTGTCCTTAAGTGTTCTATGAAAATCTGTCCACTTTGTACTCTTTCCTTAATAATACAGCTGATTTATTGTCACAATATAACTTAAGTGGTCTTTCAATGTCTTTCACAATTTGCAGTCCTGTGACAAAATTTCTCAGTCATATTCCATGATTTGATGCCTCATAGCATGCTACAAATTCTTGACATCCTGCAAAATATGAGTCAGAAAACCCAGCGATCTGCAACTGGTCTGACCTCCT